TTGTGATGGCGAATTAGACGTCAGCCGTGAAGTAATATATATCGAGAAGAAAACTCTTACCAACTATAGTCCAGAGGAGGAGTAATATGAGGACCGTACCACCATATTGTGTCTTAGTAGAGCGGCGGCATTGGCATCTTTAAGTAGAGCAAACGGCGACAGCAACTAAGGTCGCGTTCCAACCGGGAGGCTGCGCATCTGGCTGTACGGGGAGTCTGCCAAGACCCTTCGTCGTGCATGCCACGCTGTGTAGGTCGCATAACTCATGCTCCTGCGTTACGTATGGGTCTGTTGGTTGGCCGTCCTAATTCATTAACTTAACCGCCATCCTCTCCTTCAGGTTCGTAGCACAATACTACACCTTGATAGGCTAAAAAAGCGAGGAAAATTAACTTTTCGGCCTTAAAACCTGCATATAACGCGGAATAATATTCTAAAATAGATATAGACTACCTAAGATTGGGTAAGTACTTACCTCCCATCCTAGTCTAATACGAAAGCTTCGAACCCTACTGCAATTATCCTTCATAATGTTCGTTAGTATATGCCGAAAGACTCTATATGCCGAAAACAACTAATCAGATTTGAAGGATTGTAGGCTTCTCTCTAGCCGTCGCGATCCGATTAGTTATTCTCGGCACATAGAGTTTTCCGGCATCTAGTAACGGACGTTAGATAGTAAACCTGTTTATCTTCTGCCATCGTGCGAGTGGCTAGATGACTGATCCTTGGCGTTAGTTAGTTAATTAACATGTTCAACAGTAAGCTGCGCAATTTCCATCCCTTCGTGCCAGGACGCACGGCGTAATAGGATACTTTTCTGACCCGCTCTTATACTATCCGTGACATACTTTTATATAGTTATAGTTAAGGAGTATATGGCAATATGGCTCTAGTATACGTACTATGTGATCGTGTACATTACTTAAGAATACTCTTTTAGTTCTTTTAAGTTAGATACTAATACACTAAAAGACTAAGAGTTAAAGTATTATAGAATTATATCAACTATAAAGCTTTTCTCTATTATAGCTAAAGTGAGTAATAGTAGCTTAGAATTAAATATAGTACTGGAATGAGAAGAAAATTAAAAAACTTCTTCACTACTAAAACTTAAAGACTCTATTCTACGTCTTAGCAATTAAAAAAATTAGTTTTATTATAGATATTTCTTCAAGAGTTAGATGGTTATATTTAGTTTTCAAGAGGGTAAAATTGAAACTCTTAATTCTGCCGATTTCTTGGCACTATAACACATGAATATCTCTAAAGAAAACCAATGCGTCATTTCTCTACTGCTTTAGAGACTCCACAACCAGACACAGCCTACGCTCAGTGTCTAGGCGTGCTTTCGGACCAATCACAATGACTCAGCACTACCACGTCGGTGGGGGTCCCTTAGGGTATACTACCGAGAAAAAGTGTCATATGACAGTCTTGCGTGGCCACGCGCAATTTGTTATCGAAGTCGAGATCATGCGGCTAAAAGGCACAAGCTTGGGTGAAACACTCCTACAGCAGCTCGAGCTATGGAAAGTGGGCACATGGAGCAAGGCCAACGATAACTTACTTTTCGACCTGATTTATTAATACTGTTTACCTCTTATTGAAAGATTGGCGCCACAAACGCTACTTCAGAACCTTAGTTTGGAAAGCTTTCTCCATTCGCCTACCTACAATTTAGAGCTTTTCTACGAAGGTGTTGATGGGGATATTCGCATCAAGGGTGAAGACGAGTGTCTATATACACCGGCCTTCTCTACTTCCCCTATGCGCACCGCCGACTTACCTGATCTATGCAAAGAAGTACTGTCCTTCCAGGCACGCAATATATGGATAGCGGCTATCTTGGACGAGCGAGAAACGATTGGTTCAATTCAAGGAAGAGTCGTAACGGCGGAGGGAGTTCCTCTGTATTTCAAACCGCGGGTTGAGATGCGCGAACAAGAGTTCGAGCGTGAGCTCTGCACTTTATTGCGTATCCACAAAGCCGGTTTGACAACTCGGCTTCGAGTCCCCAGACTACACGGCATTGCGGTGTCAGGAGAAACAACAATCGGCCTGTTGATGACCTTGGTTACTTCATCCGAGATAGGGACCCACTTGCGAAGCCCTGTTCTTCAGGAAAGGCACGAGTTACACAAAAGGTGGGAGGAGCAACTCTCTGCTATGGTAAAGGAGCTCCATGCCCACGATATCGTGTGGGGAGACGTTCACCCTATGAATGTTGTTATTGATGAAGCAATGAATGCTTGGGCTGTTGATTTTGGTGGCATGAACAATGCAGAGTTTGTGGATGACGACAAACGCGAGGCTATGGAGGGTGACTGGCAGAGTTCAGCAAAAGTCTTCCAGGAATGGTTACCGGATCCGCAGAGACGGAAGCAATGGTAATGTTACTGTGACAGTTCATGGGATAAGGATGTTCCATATACCACGTGATGACGTGATTATTTTTTCTCTTGATAGTAGCCTTCTGCGCCTGTAAATAATCTGATAGTGTTTGTATTACAAATGCCGACAGTCTGTGACACATTTTAGAGGTTGATTTGGTATTAAACTGTTGTGTCCCGTGGTCCAACCGAAAGGAACAGGTGTCCTGCAGTATGGTGACGAGTGGCTTCTTGCCCCCACTGTTCTTGCTTGACGTCATACCCAAAACGGCAGTAGCTGCCACCCCACTCACCTCAATGTAGATCCTACACACTCAGACTTCACCAGACCCGCGTGCTAATTGGACCTGTGAAAATGGCAGGTTGGGCGTCCAAATTATCGTCGTTGGGACATTCAAAGTCCGAGGACAAGGATGAAACATCCCTCACAACGCTTCTCGATGCGGAACAATGCGCCGAGTTGACCTTTCTGATAGCTACCATTACAGCTTCGATGCGACAGTCTCTAGTCAAGACCTTCACTGCCGAAGAATTTCCAATTGACGAGAAGACCGCAAAGTCGGAAGAAGAAGTTCTGAGGGATGCGCCTTCCGACCTCGATAATGTTGACGTCGAGAAAGAAGACAAGATCAAGAAAGAGAGACAGAGGCGTGAGGAGGAGGCTAAAGAGGAGCTTGCGAAACCGGAGGTACAGGAACTAAAGAGGGAGATGTTGAAATACTTTGACGATTGGCGTGGTCAAGTTGTCAGCAGAGTTGGCGAGGTGATCAACTCAAAAGATAAGGCCAGGAAGCAAGCCCAGGAAGTGGAGAGCCAGCAAACCGAGACAATAGCTAGCAAGTCAGAGGCTGGCTTGACTAGCATCGAGAAGCTCGACGATAAGGAAGAGGATGAAGAAAAGATGTTCAAGGCCTTGTACCCTCCTGTTCCCACCAATCTTACTCGGCTGGAAGAGAGCAAACGTGCTCTTGTTTTCCACTCGCTGGTACTGATCGTGTTGAGCCTAGAACACTACTCGGCGCACTCTCGCGTTTTGATCCTCTACCTCACAAGTTCGCTTGGGCTGGGTAGAGACGTCTTGAAGAAAGATGAGGAGACTGTTGCGCAAGGCCTATTGGAAGCGGCATCCCAACAGCTCAATGCAGATGAAGAGACCAAAAAAGCAGCCGAAGCCTCGCAAACGGCTCGCCGATGGAAAGTTGGATTAGCTGGTGTAGCTGGTGCTGCACTTATCGGCGTCACCGGTGGTCTTGCTGCTCCTCTTCTCGCAGCAGGTGTCGGAAGTGTAATGGGTGGAGTTGGCCTAGGAGCTACCGCGGCAGCGGGCTATCTCGGCACACTCGCCGGGTCATCTGTTCTTGTGGGTGGACTTTTTGGTGCCTATGGTGCGAAGATGACTGGGAAAGCCATGGACGAGTACGCACGAGAAGTTGAGGACTTTGCCTTTATCCCAATCCACCGTACACAGGACCCCAAGAAACAAGACAACGAGTCTCGACGTCTCAGAGTATCCATTGCCGTATCCGGTTGGCTTCGCAAGCCCGAGGAGGTCAGCCAGCCATGGCGCTACATCAGCAAGGGTACAGAGGGCTTTGCGTTACGATGGGAGCTTGAGGCGCTTCTTAAGCTCGGGCACAGCCTCGAGACGTTTGTCACAAGTGCAGCATGGGGCTATGCAAAGAAGAAAATCATTGAACAAACCGTCTTTGCTGCAATGACAGCTGCGCTGTGGCCTCTTGGTCTGCTCAAAATCGCAACCCTATTGGACAACCCATTTTCTGTAGCCAAGTACCGGTCTGAGAAAGCAGGAGAAGTCCTTGCCGATGCTCTCATCAACAAAGTCCAAGGCGAACGACCAGTCACTCTAGTAGGATACTCTCTCGGTGCGCGCCTCATCTTTTCCTGTTTGCAAAAGCTCGCCGACCGTAAAGCCTTTGGCCTCATTGAAAACGTTGTCCTTGTTGGTGCTCCTTGCCCTTCCGACGCCGAAGACTGGCGCCGCATCCGTTCTGTAGTTAGCGGGCGTTGTGTCAATGTCTTCTCTAAAAACGACTACATCCTTGGCTTCCTATACCGCACTTCTTCCGTTCAGCTCGGTGTCGCCGGGCTCCAGCCCATTGTTGGTGTACACGGTGTACAGAACGTAGATGTATCCGAACTGGTGGATGGCCATCTCCAATATCGCTTCATCACGGGTTCGATTCTACGCAAGATAGGGTTTGAGGATGTTGACATTGAAGAAGTAGAGCGCGCGGAAGCTGATCTACGCAAAGAGACTAAGAAGGTTGAAGAAGAGCGACGCAAGAACGAAGGTGAAAAAGGAGAAGGAGGTGAGGATGAAGAGGAGTTAAAAAAGCAAGCGGAAAAGAAGCAGGAAGAGAGCCTTTTGACGGTTATGCAGCAGAAGACGAGAAATATGGACATTGGTGGCTTTGTGAAGGGTTGGTCTGGCAAGTCGGCTCCTGAGACAGCGGAGAAGCAGCACTCGGGCGACTACAAGGATGAAGACAAGAAGAAGCATGCTGAGTAGCTGGGTAGTATTTGTGAGGTTCCTTTCAGGTATGATATGTACTACGCGAATTCGATTGCGCAGATAGTACATAGGCAATGGCAATCACTCCGAAGATTCAAAAAAATCCCTCCTTCCCTCTTCCGCTCAATGACATCCCTGTACCTTCGCCCCTGGACCCCGAAACGACGAAGGCAACTTTCTGGCCTGAGCCCGTACCTCTTCAATCTCCTGGCGCCGGCGGTACAGCAATGCCCCATTCTTGTCTAACCTTGCCGTCAGTTAATGCCTAGGGGTAGAGTGTGGTCAAAGAGAGATTAGTGATAGTAGTCGATATCATGTACAGGTATCATAAACTCATATTGTATCGCTGTATTTACATGGGCAGGACGAGTAAAGCTCACGCGGTTGTAAGCGCGAGAATCTTGAAGGATAACTGCTTGTTTTTGGAATTTGCAAATTGTCTTTTGGTAATCACTGCTATGTTACTGCTATGTTCATTGCTGTGTGGTACTTGGTTGAGCAGATGTCATTGTAAGCTAGCTGTCGCTCTTGTCGAATGAGTGATGGACTGCTCGGAACCAGACTTTGCGGCATGGCAAATGAATATCTCGGATGCATGTTTGTATGTAGGTGCAAGGAACTTGTGCATGATGTCACTCTACGTAATACTGGTAGAGTCGAGTCCTTACTACGATCTCACGATCCGTGTAGGGTGTTGTAATTGTTCCGATAGGCTTACAGGTTTCACTATCTCGGCCAAACTCTAGTACGGCCAATACGTCACCCCGAGTCATTGTTCATTTAAAAAGACAGATGCAGTGGCTTCGCTGTGCTATTTATAGTAGACCTGGCTAGTGCCTCGGTTTCTGCAAGGCGCAGGAAAACAAAGAGCGTAGGATGCTCTTTGTACAATAGTTTAGCAAGGCTTGAGAATAGAATCGAGTGGGAAAGGCGCAAGGGTCGGTTTATATTTGCAGCGCTACTGAACTGGTGAGCGCAACGTATGCATCTTGCACGCGAGCTGAGATGGCTGTTGTCCTAGCAGTGGAGCTGACAGAAGGTTCCCCAAAACGCAAAGAGGGGACGCTAGACTACATCGAGTCTAACTTCAGATAACACCAGATAACCCAAACACCCCTCCTCATCAATATTCTCTACCGGTGATTCGATGTGTGAGATCAAGTCCGGTAAGTATGCTGTCTGCAAGCATGCTTATGGAGGCTGTGCAGACAGGGCTGCGTAGCCATGTTTATACCGCGTTCAGAAAAGGCCCCCAAACCCCACATTAGCGCAACATCAAAGTCCAGCTCGTCGTATCAACACAGGTCATGTGTGGTCGAACTCCATGGGGCCATCAGCACTATACCGGTATGGCGTTCACACTTTGCGGCATTGTCAGTTGTGAAAGCCGTGGAACAGTAAGCAATAAAGAGTTCCAGGTGGATGGGTCGGTCTCCGCTTGCTGCTGGATCATGCGAGGCTGAGCTGGATGCCTCATACGAGGCATGGTAAGTCTTATTGTCAGCTCGCCTCGTTTCGGAAGAATTTGCGTCTCCTCTTGTTTTTTTTTCTCGATATTCTTTTAATTTTTCTTGTCGTTCGCTCCACTCTTTATTCTGGACTTCGTCGAGATGGCACGGCCTCTGAGAGTTCGGAGCTTCGACAATGTACTGGGACCTCATCCACAGGGTCGAGACGCAGCTCCTCTAGAATGTGATGGACAAAACGATATACCTGAATGTTATTCGGGAACAGCAGGAGGAGTGGCCTCGAAACCCGACACACCTGGGGTGTTCCCAAGGACTACCGACGACTCTGCACTTGCAGTTGAAACCAATGGCTTTGGAGGAAGCAAACCAACAGTTGTACAAACTTCCGACATCATAACAGCTACGATGATTCCCACTCAAAGTGTAAATCCTACTCTATCGACAACTGTAGTCAGCTCAGAGCCAAGCTTGGTGACAGCGGGGAGTGTGGAAGGACCAACACATGATAACAGCGGACTTAGCACAGGAGAAGTTGTGGGCATCGCAGTCGGAACTTTGTTCATAGGCGCAGCACTCGCGTTTCTTGCTGCATTCTTCGTTTTCAAGCGACGTAATAGGCGGCAAAACGCCAACACTGGTGACAGGGGATATCCGAGCTATGGAGATTCAGTACCTGAGCTTACCATGGTACAAAAGAGCGTTGGTAGCTTAGGAGACATGCATAGCCCTTACGTACAGGTGCCTCAGACACCAATGCTGGCCCGACGACCCATTCCGCCCGCGATTCCAGCTCCAGTAAATATGGACACCACAACAAATACGGATATCGCTGGTTTCTTGCCACCGATTGCACGAGACAGCGAGGTGGGTGATAGGGTATCCGCGTTGTTTGAGAAGATGCATGAGCACATAGAACGAAATTATCGCGATGTTCATGCCAGCATCACACCGAGCATGGAATCTGGAATTGCTAGCTTTGGAGCAAAGGGCGTTAATATGACGGAAATGCTGCAAGAGTGCTCGAATCCGACTACTGCGCTCAAGCATGCACTTGTGTCGTATGTAATGGCCATAACGAGTTGGAACAAGGACGAAGAACACGCGGGCACATTGTTCCCCGAAGAACTCAGTAATATGAAATCTGAGAGGCACAGCAACAGCTCCGGTACGTCATGTTTGTACTTGAGTCTCGCAGCAAATATCACTAACGGTTTACATAGACCCGGGCGCCACGGCAGCAGCCTCTTTGCTTAAACGAATCTCGGTGTACCTTTACACCAGTACGTCTGGCACACCCGAGTCCGCTCAATCATGGACGATTCAATCCAGCGCCCGCGAAGCTGCTGAACACTTTTCCATGACATTTTTCCCTTGGGCCAATCCCACCAGCAGTGACCAGCAAAAAGACGAAGATCTTACATCTATTATCATAGAAGCACTGGAGATAAGCATATGGTTATTCGGACAGCCAGAGGTATATGAGTTTGAATGGGGTGGAGCTGGCAGAAGAGGAGTGCTAGTCAGTCCAGGACTGGTGAGGCGCACAAACGCAACTGGCGATGAACAGGGAACCAGGGTAGTGGAAGGTGCAGTTGTGGGTATGTAGACTAAAGGTATGATCCCATTGAGATGAATTGCCAGTGCTTCTCCTTTGACTTGGAACGGTGTACGAGATCACGTTGACTACCGCCAAGTGAAGATACTTGAGACAGTTCTGCAGGGTTTCGCGTATACAACTCCGTACCGCCAATGCTGGGCCCTTGTCTCCCATTGGCTATCCAAGGTATACAGTCCTGTGCGCCTAGACACCGACAAACGTCAGCCAATGCTGTGTAGTAGTGACCAGGATGGAAGGCCAGTCGCTATGACGACGGATGTATGGACGCCAAGATGCGTGGACGTTGGCACCAGGATTTCTATGCTTTGCTGTACACGCAGCCTTACTGTGAGATGGCGTAGGTGTAATATATTGCCATGCGCTCCTGCAAGCATTTGGACAACTCGAGCCTAGTGGGCGGCGACGGATACGAGAGACGATGAATTGCTCACACGTGTGGTGAAAGCTTAGCCTATACTACTACCTATTGTGTATTGTGAAGTCTTGTGGCAATACCCCAACATGTATGGTTTGAAGCAGTCTCCACCCAAGAGAACAGTTGGCATAAGCGCACATCGGCAACGACTGGGCGTTAAGCAGTCAGTAAGAATTGCCGGCACCTTTGCCTCGGGAAATGGCTGGTCCCCTTCCCCACGTCCGAAGGGGGGCGCAAAGCTGATGCCTGTCGCATCGCATGCTCAAGCGCCCCCTCCATCATTCCTTCAGGGAGGTACACGCGATTAGCTCCCCCCCCCAGCTTACCATTTTTAAAATGCGGTAATTTTCTTTCTAGCTGCATTTTGCAAGCGGACACTCTTTTACACCACGAGGTCTTTTACACGCAAAGAGTGTTTCGGCCTCTCAAGCCGAGCTGCGCATATCTATTATCCGGTCACGCTCCAAGACAAAAGTACCATCAAAGTACGCTAGTCATGCTAAAAACCGCGCTTATGGCACTAAAAAAGCGACCAATGACATGTGCTCCAATACTATTCATACATGTATACAGACACATGTTATATCTCTTGTAATGCGAGTCCGCGGGCCGGTTGTCTACCCGGAGATACCTTGCTTCTACGAGCCGCATATCGGACCTCCAAGAACCCCCCCCCCTCTCCCTGTACCCGACGGACCGCATGTCAGGATACCCCATCGACGAGGTGATGAATACGGCACGAACCTCGTGGCCAGTGGGAAGGCATTCAGAACAGACTGAGGGCGAGATCGGCACGCAGAAATGGTCTGAGTGGGTGGTAGGGTTACAGGCGCGGTGGACTAGTAATCCGGAGCAACGGAGGCGGCACCAGGGCGTGGCTGCTGCTATCCGCATTGGTTCGTGGTGCCCACCAAAGGAGGGCGGGCCCAGCCAAAGACAAGCATTGGGTTCTTCGTCATATTCCATGTCCCCGCGCGAGTGGCACACGCGAGGGGTACAGCAGCACTGAGGTAGCCGTGGGAAAAAAAGGTAGCTCTTCATAAGTCGAGCCGTTCGCCCATCGGCTACATGCTGTGGTACAACCCTTTCTTTTCCTACTTACTTACTTACTCACTCCCCTCCCCTCCCCCCGCCTAGCTGCCTCATTCGTAGACAGGCCAACTACAAATAGACGCGCGCAGCCAGCTCCACTTTGCTCTGCGAGCTTGGTTTCCGGAAGATTCAGCAAGCAGCTTCAATTGGGGGGGGCCCCTGCCGCAGCTCATCGCATATTCGCCGACCCCTTTACCCGGTATTGAGACATATACTACAAATATCTGTTGGAGCGGACACGTTCCTACTCCCGCCCGCGGCTCGTAACCTTCCTTTGTGACGGCTCTAGAGCACCCTCGTCGCGAAATTGCAGCGCGCCGAAGCTGGGCTCTTCTTGTTCACCCCTCCCCCACCCCCAAAAGGTTACATTCCGTCTGCAAAGAAAAAAACACAATGTCCGAAGGCAACGTCAAGCCGACGGCGCCAGTCGTGGCCGAGGCCCACGAGGTCGACACCTTCCACGTCCCCAAGGCGTTTTTCGAGTGAGTGCAATATTTATTTGGTCGTTACATCATGTACCAAGACAATGACAGTTGCGGCGTTCATCCCAGCTCCAAAGCTCACGAGGTGGGCGGGGTGACCCCGCGGCGCCGAGCGTTAGGCCGAATGGCGGCGCGCGCAATTGTCTGTCGTATGAATGAGCAATTGAAACAGCAGCTGACGAGTGACATTATTTTTCCTGGAACAGCAAGCATCCGCACTCGAAGCCGCATCTTGCAAATCTAGAGGAATACCAGAAGCTGTACAAGGAGTCGATTACCAACCCAAAGGTTTTCTGGGGCAGGCTAGCACGCGAGCTGCTCACGTGGGAGCGCGACTTTGAGACGGTACACTCGGGCAGCTTTGAGCATGGCGACAATGCGTGGTTCGTAGAGGGCAGGCTGAATGCCAGCTACAACTGTGTTGATCGCCATGCCTTCAAGGACCCCAACAAGCCTGCCATCATCTATGAAGCTGACGACGAGGGCGATGGTCGCATTATCACATATGGAGAGCTGCTCCGCCAGGTCTCCAAGCTAGCCTTTACACTCAAGGAGATGGGTGTACGAAAAGGTGATACTGTCGCTCTGTATCTGCCCATGATTCCCGAGGCAGTCATTTCCTTCTTGGCATGCACACGTATTGGTGCCATTCACTCTGTCGTATTTGCTGGCTTTTCGTCTGATTCACTACGCGACCGTATCAACGATGCCGAGTGCAAGGTTGTCATCACCACTGACGAGGGCAAGCGCGGCGGCAAGACTATCAGCACCAAGAAGATTGTCGATGACGCTCTCAAGCAATGCCCTGGCATCACCCACTGCCTGGTCTACAAGCGTACCGGCGCTGAAGTGCCCTGGACAAAGGGCCGGGACTGGTGGTGGCACGAGGAGGTCGAGAAGTGGCCCAGCTACATTGCACCAGAGCCAATGAACTCGGAAGACCCCCTTTTCTTGCTCTACACATCTGGTTCTACTGGTAAGCCCAAGGGTGTCATGCACACAACTGGTGGTTACCTTCTCGGAGCTGCGGCGACTGGAAAGTATGTGTTTGATATTCACGACAACGACGTCTTCTTCTGCGGTGGTGATGTAGGCTGGATTACTGGCCACACATATGTCGTATATGCGCCTCTGCTGCTTGGTGTAGCCACTGTTGTTTTCGAGGGCACGCCTGCTTACCCCAACTTCTCACGGTACTGGGACATTGTTGCCAAGCACAACGTCACCCAGTTCTATGTTGCGCCGACCGCGCTGCGGCTGCTCAAGCGTGCGGGCGACGAGCACGTCAAGCATGACATGAAGAAACTCAGAGTGCTCGGCTCTGTCGGTGAGCCGATTGCGGCTGAGGTGTGGAAGTGGTACTTTGAGGTTGTCGGCAAGGAGGAGGCGCATGTTGTTGACGTGAGTTTTGATTCAGTATATATCCGGAATCATGTGCTGATGTTTGACAGACCTATTGGCAAACCGAGACTGGCTCTCACGTCATTACGCCACTGGGAGGTATCACACCCACCAAGCCCGGATCAGCATCTCTCCCATTCTTTGGCATTGAGCCTGCGATTATTGACCCGGTCTCGGGCGAGGAGATCCATGGCAACGACGTTGAGGGTGTACTGGCCTTCAAGCAGCCATGGCCTAGCATGGCACGCACAGTCTGGGGAGCACACCGGCGGTACATGGAGACATACCTGACGGTCTACAAGGGCTACTACGTGAGTGTAAAAAAAATGCGGAGTATTGTAACATGGGCTAACGGCGGCAGTTCACTGGAGATGGTGCGGGCCGTGATCACGAGGGCTACTACTGGATCCGGGGACGCGTTGACGATGTTGTCAATGTATCGGGACACCGGCTGTCTACAGCAGAGATTGAAGCCGCGCTTATTGAGCACCGTAAGCTACAGCGTAGAGACAAGGTGGTACATGCACGTGGCTAACGATTACGCAGATCAAGTGGCTGAGGCTGCAGTTGTGGGGATCCATGACGAGCTGACAGGCCAAGCCGTCAACGCGTTTGTGGCGCTCAAGGACGGTGCCGAGACTAGCGATCAGGTCAAGAAGGATTTGGTGATGCAGGTGCGCAAGTCGATTGGGCCGTTTGCCGCACCAAAGGCGATTTTCGTAGTGCCGGACCTGCCCAAGACACGATCGGGCAAGATTATGCGTCGCATTATGCGCAAGATCTTGGCTGGAGAGGAGGACCAGTTGGGCGACATCACAACGGTAAGTCAAGACATGCCGCCAACCATTTTTGCATGGTGATGACGAGGCCGCGTATTGTTGTGCAAGATGCGAGCTAATCATGTGGGACAGCTCTCGGATCCGTCGATAGTCGACAAGATCATCGACATTGTGCACCAGGCGAAGAAGAAATAGCCGGCTCGACTTGGCGAGGGTTGCCAGAGGCCTGTCAGTGGTTGAGAGGGCAACAGTTGGGAGTTCAGTGGGGAGGCCGGCAGAGGGCGGCCAACCAGCGCGCAGGGTGGACGAGGGTCATTGTCCAAGAGGGATAGCGGCCGAGCACAAAGTAGTCTAGTTGATTATCGTTATAGGGCAAGATGGGCCGAGTACAGGCGTTTCCATGGTGAGACGGGTGCGGTATGCGCGGGGAGAGGGACAGCAAAGGTGGTGTTTGGGCGCTTGTCCCATGTCTCAGGTATGCCTGCATGCACGCCGAGTTAGTTAGTAAGAAATGATGTATGTATGTATGTAAGTATAGCATGTTTTGGTGGCACTTACACCACCAGCCCTGACAGGCAGATGAACCATGTTTCCCGGTGAAGCAAAGGGGCTCAGCATGTGTGCGTGCATGTCAACCGTTGGACTTGTGCACACAAGGTTCAGCCGCATAGCCGTATTGCCCGCGTATAGAGTGACGAGGGTGTCGCGGCCCTCACGAGGGCAAAGGGAAAGCAGAGCATGGCTGCCATAGTTTCATCCGTGTCGCGCCCAGGCCCCCCCTCCCCCCCCTCTGCTTCCGGGTGCCGAGTGCCAAGACGGTGGCTGGCAGGGGGGCTGTGCACAGCGATTACGACTCTCCACTGTCCGCCGTCTACCCATCGTTTTGCTCAGTAATAGCCCTTTTGCCTCTTTGCTAGTGTTTGTGCCATACTCCATCGTCCTTTTTTTCCCCTACCCATGTCTCTCGCTGCCTGGTCTTGATATCCGCCCTGCTCCCCTTTGTTGTTTTTGCACCTTTTCTGCCCTCCCCCCATCCCCATCCCCTCGCCCATCTCCTGAACGGAGAGAGCACCGCCACTCGAGCGAGAATGCGCCTCTTTGGCAGTCTCCAGACTGCCCTCGTCATCGGCCTCGCCACTGTCGCTTCTGCTGCCTCACGCGCCCGCGAGCCGCTGCAGAGAATTGCCCTCGTGAAAAATGCCGACATCCTCACACAGACACATCGAGTGACGGCCGTGTCCTCGTTCGACCTTGCCTTCGACGTGTCGGGCCAGCGCATCCGCCTGAGCCTCGAGCCTAACCACGACCTGTTTGTGGACGGCGGACGCATAACACATCTCAACGCAGATGGTTCAATAGCAAGGTCCGAACCGATTGATCGACTGCAACACAAAGTTTACAAGGGCAAGGCGTGGCTGAAGAGGGGTAATCGATGGGACAGTGTCGGATGGGCGCGCATTGGCTTACGCGAGGACGGTCTGGAACCGCTGTTCGAAGGCACTTTTTCTATCAACCACGACCACCACCATGTCAAGATGGCTTCGAGCTACAAGGCCACGCGCATGGAAGAGGATCCCGATGTCGATTTGCGTCCCAAAGAGTTCATGGTTGTGTTCCGCGACTCGGACATGGGAAAAGGCAGGAACTCGGATGAAAACATGGAACTCAAAAAGCGATCAAAAGAAGTTGGATGTCCGTCCGACGAACTTATTTTTAACACGCAGGAACACCATCCTGTTTTCGCTAGCATGCGCGCGCGAGACGAGTCGTCGGCCATGTCGCCATCTCTCATCACCGCCATGTTCAAGCGACAGGATGATCTACAGCCTGGAGGCAATGGTGCGGGTGTTGATCTCTCGTCCACCATTGGCAAGACTGCCGGCTGTCCCAGTACTCGCAAAGTCGCGCTTGTCGGTGTAGCTGCTGACTGCACCTATGTGACGTCTTTTAACGGAGACAAGAACAGGACTCAATCCAACATCATCGCCGCAATGAACTCTGCTTCCGAGGTTTTTGAGAGCTCCTTCAACATTTCACTTGGTGTCGCCAATCTCCTCATCACAGAACCGGATTGCCCGACACAGCAACAACAAGCCACACCCTGGAACCAGGCCTGCAGTAACAGCATCACAATTCAAGACCGTTTGAACCAGTTTTCCAAGTGGAGAGGACAGCAAAGTGACAGCTACTCCCACTGGACCCTTCTGTCAACCTGCAACACTGGATCCGCTGTCGGACTCGCGTGGCTCGGACAAGCTTGCACAGCAGGCTCTCAAGACAACACTGGACAAGCTGGCGAGACAGTCGCCGGTGCCAACGTAGTCATCAGGACCGACAACGAATGGGAAGTCATTGCCCACGAAACAGGCCATACCTATGGTGCTGTACACGACTGTACATCGCAAACATGCGCCAACAAAGACGTTGTCAATGCGCAACAATGTTGTCCCTTTACTCAGTCCTCTTGCGACGCTAATGGTGGCTTCATTATGAATCCCTCGACAAAGGATGGCATCTCGCGCTTCTCCCCCTGCACTATTGGTAATATTTGCTCAGCGCTTGGACGTAATAGCGTCAAATCTCAATGTCTCACCAACAACCGCGATGTCACCCTGCTATCTGGACCAACCTGCGGCAACGGTATTGTCGAAGGCGACGAGGAATGTGATTGCGGTGGCGTTTCAGGCTGTAAGGACAATGCTTGCTGCAACCCGCAAACTTGCAAATTCATCAACAATGCCGTATGCGATGATTCCAACGAAGACTGCTGCCGCAATTGCCAGTTCGCCTCAGCCAGTACAGTCTGCCGTGGTTCGGTTGGCACCTGCGATCCCGAGGAGACCTGCACTGGAAATTCCCCGTACTGTCCCGAGGACAAGACAAAGCCCGATGGTACCGACTGCGGCAATGGCCTCACCTGTGCCTCTGGCCAATGCACAAGCAGAGATATGCAGTGTAAGACTATCATGGGAAGCTACACTCAAGGCAATGATACCTATGCTTGCGACAACAGCAACTGCATGCTCAGCTGTGCTAGCCCGGAGTTCGGTGCTAGATGCTACGGACTGCAACAAAACTTTTTGGACGGCACCGCCTGTACAGGAGGCGGCACGTGTCAAAACGTATGTCAAGTCATTGTTTACTATTTTTCTTCAATCACTAACAGTACCTAGGGTGTTTGCCAAGGCGGCTCTGTCGGCAAAGAAATAACCACCTGGATCCAACGCAATCTCTCCCTGGTCATTGGCCTTGCTGCCGGAATCGGTGGTGCTCTCCTCCTATGTATTTTCTGCTGTTGCTTGCGCTCCTACCGTCGCCGATCAAGGCTCAAGAAGTACGCTGCTGCTCGACCACCCCCAATGCCCTACCAAAGCAGCCAGAATGGCAGCCAGGGCAGAAGGCACAGGAACGATCCCATGGGCCAACCACAAATGACTCAATACAACAACAGTCGCAACCAATATCCACCAAGTGGACCACAACCAGGCCACTGGACACCGAATGGGAATGCACCTAACGGGGATGTTCCGATGCCACCACCAGTACATCGAAGCAGTGTGCGCTATGCATAGACGCTTTCTAATACAGGAGCGCTGTTTTATTTTGTTCTTTCATATCTCTTTGCATCTAACGACAAATATCTACGGTCACTTAAAACCAGCAGGTATATAAGCTGGGTTGGGAATTTCAGCAAGCATCATTATCGGCGTTTCTTTTGTCTCGGGCAACTTTACAGGGGCGGTACCTTCCCCCCACTGATTTTAGGTTTTGATTACAGGGAGAAAGGAAGAGTGAGGGGGCCGGGTTTTGCATATAAGAGGTCGTATATAGCGAAATGTTGATATCGAGGACTTTGTGTAAATGCATCCTTAGTACTGTTTGAGAGCGCATGTCAGTGTTATTATTGGTATCTAGGCAAATCAGGGACCAACAGTTACAGAACTAATTTCGGATTTTATGCGGCTACTAATGTCCGAGCCCCACTGGTTTTTTTGTTTCCAATTGCCGTGGGTTGTGGACCCTTGATTATCAATAGACGTCATGGCTCCATGGTGTATCGTCAGATGACAAATGTGATTTCTTTTCAGAGAAGTAACAACAATCACTCAGCACATATCAAAGTGGAATCAGAAAGCAAAAAAAAAGTGGTTCTCAGAAGAAAGAAAAAGAGAAAAGAAAGAGCGAAGGCACTTGTACAACAATACGGATAGGACATTATCGAACTTGCAACAGCAACTACAACAACATGTTAGCTCTAACAAGTGCTACTGGAAAGCTGGGCGGTGCAGTCCTCAACGCTATCCTCGAGCATAAACTCATTGATCCAAAGGAACTTGTCGTCTGTGTAAGTCTCTCCCCTCTCCCTTCTTATTCCATCATTCCAACCCCCCCCCCCTCAATCAACCCTCTCTCCCTTTCTTTCCTCCATATCCTTCAAAATATCCACCAACTTACATACCACACAGACCTCAACCGACCCCTCCTCCCCCCGCCTCTCCCACCTCCACTCCCACTCCCTCACCATCCGGCACGCAGACTTCTCCGACCCAGCCTCCCTGCGCACCGCATACAAAGGATGCACGCGCCTCTTCCTCGTCTCCACCCCCGCAATCGCCATGGACTACAACTCCGCACCCCTCTGGTCGGGCCGCGAAGCGCACCACCGCGCCGCCATCGACGCCGCCGTATCCGTAGGCATTCGGCACATCTACTACACTTCTCTCGCGTTCGCTCGACCCTCGCGCGCGGGCGTGATGCGCGCCCACATACGGACGGAGGAGTACCTTGAGGACTTGCGGAAACGGGGGGTTGTGGAGACGACGGTGGTGAGAGAGGGGCTGTATAATGAGAGTTGGCCGTTGTATTTTGGGTATTACTATGGGTTGAAGGGCGAGGAGAGGAGGGAGGTGGTGGTTGCGGGGGATGGGAGGGTGAGTTGGACGGCGATTGGGGATTTGGGGTTTGCGACTGCAAAGGTGCTTGCGGGGAGCCCGGGGGAGTGGGTTGGTAAGACGGTTTATCTGGCGCAAAGGGAGACGCGGTCGTTGGCGGATATTGCGAAGTTGGTGGGGGAGGTTAGGGGGGAGGAGGTGAGGTTGAGGGTTGTGGGGAGGAAGGAGTATGAGGAGTTTTATGTGAGGGAGATGGGCATGGAGAGGCCGGCGGTCGAGTGGTGGAGTAGCACGTATGAGGCGCTTGAGGCGGGGGAGTGCGAGATTAAGGATGAGACGCTTGAGGGGATTTTGAGGGAGGCGGGGAGGACGCCGGTGCCGGTCGAGGTTACAATTCGGGAGATGATGAAGTGAGTGGGTTTGGTAGTGGTCTTCGTCCCTCTGGGCTTTTTTTTTCTTCAGTGCCCGACGTAACAGTCGTATTCGTCGCGGTGTAGTATCCGTGCAGCATCCCAACTTGCAAAACACAACATTTGGCCTAGGTACCGGCAAAAGCGGCGTCGCTTGCTTTCCTGCTCTTCTACGCTTCGAGTTGCCATGGCTTCTTTCTCTCCGCTGTACCTAACCTCTCGTTTCAATACGCCTCTTCTCCTCGCTCGTGCTTGAGACTGTATCACTCTTCTTATCGCTTTTATCCTCTCGGCTCTTCAAATGCTGTCTCAGTTGTTTACACACGAAAACTCTGGCGTGTCAGAAGGGAAGACAACAGGAATGCGGGTCTCACAGGCTTTCTTCCCCTTATCGCATATATATACCCTTCCCTCAAAACCCTTTTATGCCTGTACCGAACTTACCTGCACAAACCACGGTTCCGTATCAACCACTCGCTATCCGTATCGGGATATAAATGCGCGCGGATTGGCTGGTATTACCGATACGATTCAACAATCGTCATTAGGTGAAATTTCATTTGATATTTCTTTTATGACATGTGGGTGGGGAGGTGTAGTAATACATGGTCGGACATTGTTGGTTCACAGGTGCACAGTGCGTGTAATGGGGTCTGGTCTTTTGCGGGGAGTGGAGGTGACCTGGGGATTACTATCATCTGCCCCTTTTCGAGGTGGAAAGAAAAACACTGTCCGGTAAAAGGGTTTCATGTCGAATAGCATGAGGCTATGAGGAACGAAGACTTGGTCAGTGTAGGGCTGAACAAAAGGGACGATGTTGCACTTGTGCTGTGGCGCCCTTGTCGAACCTCTTACCATGGATAAAGAGCTTATTTTTGGCAGTCGAGCATAGAAATGGGTAGGGTTGTCGGATATGCCTCGATTTTACTATTCCGAGTAACACTACGATCATCTCGCCATGCCCTGATCTTCCCAAAACATGATTAGGATATTGACCTCTTCACAATCAAGAAGAACATGAAGTAAGTAGCTGTCGCCAGTAGGACAGGGCAGGCCACTTTGTGTCGAGTCCTTGATGCGCCTGTACTACATGCGACACAGCTTCATCCATTACGATCCATGGCTCATCCCTGCAATAACTCAACTCGGCAGCAATGCTAATAGGCTGTTAGAAGAAGGCTCGGACGAAGATGCCGACGACTTGGATGGCTATCGGCCAACCATCATCTTGTGCACGAAGGCTCTCGAAAGCCAGTCGCAGGATATCCATATCGCTACGTCGCTCGGTATTCAACTTCACAGTATCGTAAATTCGGAGATGCTGCACCTGATTCGGACTTAGTATGTCTGAGCCGCGGATGGCAGTAAAGCCGATGAAGAAACGATTGCAAAATACCCGCACAGTCATTGGCCAGTTCCCATCATCAACCTCAGCGACGATCCGGAGAAGACTAGACTGAAGCATCTAATCGAGGCATTTGAAGTGACCAACATACAGCCAGATGGTGTGAAGGATTAGGAGAAGGCGTCTTACTGCTTTAATAGCTGACTCTAGTGCATTAATCCCACCTCATCGAGATTTGATGCAGAGGGGACAATTGGGTCGTCGTAATATGGATCCAGCGTTTTGAAGTACAAAGTCAAAAGCGTGTGATATAGAGGACTTTGCTACGTAGTGTTGATTTGCTCAGCTAGTTATGCTCCGCGTACATGGTAGCTTTTGGTATGCGACATCTCGCGGTGGCAGCGCTATACTGTGCATGTATCGTGCATAAAGCCTTTTCTAGTATATCATGCACGTCAGCTTCAAATTGCGTTTGTTTGGTCCGTAGAGATTGACAATGGCATCTCGATTTCTTTTTCTTTCGGTGACTGTATCTCGTTCATACACATATTTGTGGATCTATATACTATTCATGAATAGGTCTAGGAAATGGAAAGAAAGGACAGAAAAGACACAAGGATAATAAAGCTAGTGTCCTCCTAGAGACTATGACTGACCGACAATACATACCCACGCTCGTCCATACTTTGAGTATACTGCTATCTTGTTATGTTTTATAGCTGAACGTATAGGGCGGAATTCTGGATGAATGCAGGCAATTTTCTCTCCGTTATGCGTGATCCAGCCCTGATTGAGACCGGCGAATTCTCTGACATTGTGTGCGTGGTCGAGATTGGTGTCACTCGTGGTGAGATCGATCAAGTCATCGAGATAAAAATCGCTCCCATAGCTCTGAATATAGAGATAGAAGTTGCTCTCGTTGATCTGAATATAGAGCTCATCGGGCGAGAATGCCAATGATTTGATGCTACTGTTGTCCTCAAGAGTCTTCAGGCATGCCCCGCTGTATGCATCCCAGACCTTAACTGTCTTGTCCCATGATGCCGAAGCTAGCATTATTGAACTGGGCGAGAAGGCTACTAAGCTAGTAACATGCTTATGCCCTATAAGCGTCTGTAGGCATTCTCCAGTATGTGCATCCCAGACCTTAATTGTCTTATCCCATGAAGCTGACGCTATTCTTGTTGATTCGGGTGAAAAGACTACTGAGTTAACAATGCAGCTATGCCCTATTAGTGTCCGTATGCATGCTCCTGTATGTATATCCCACATCTTGATTGTTTTATCCCGTGACGCTGAAGCTAGCCTTGCCAAAGGCGAGAAAGCTACTGAGTTAACAGGGCGGGTATGCCCCATAAGCGTCTTCAGGCAAAGCCCACTGTGTGTGTCCCAGATCTTGACCGTCTTATCTTCTGACATTGAAACTAGCCTTTTCATATCCGGCGAGAAAGCTACAGCGTGAATAGTGTTATTATGCCCCTTAAGCGTGTGCAAGCATAAACCACTTTGTGCGTCCCAGATCGTGGCTGTGTCATCTTCTAACATTGATGCTAGCTTGGTTGAATCAGGCGAGAACACCACTGAGTTAACACCTATCTCTGAATATTCATCCCGGAGCTGATCTATGGTTGGCTGGATCACAATGTTTTTTGGCTTCTCGTGCTGAAAAATACTTGCTATCAGACTACCTTTTGGGGCGAATAGTAGTAGAGATACGTATGTTTGGAGGGGATATCTCCCGATGATCCTTACAAAGGCGTTCAGAGATCGAGATACGTCCAAAGTAAGGAAAAGAAGATAGTTCATCCTCTCAAGCTCCTATCTGTGTTAGTCCAATCCAACCATATATGTGGAAGACATGGGATATGTGTAATGTACCTGTACTACTGATTGCAGAAGGCGCATTATATTTCTCCCCTGGCCCAGACTTCTACAGAGACTCAACGCTTCGAACCAATAAAGGAGTTTTTTCTTAGAAATTCTTGAATTACTGTTGCAATTTGATGGGCATTGGGCTTGCCGACGAAATTGGGGTCCAGCGCGCGAAGGTGATAAACCCAGTAGACACATGAGTAACGTGCATTCGCGAGCGGATCAGGGCTAGGTGTTTCCACGTCATTGATTGAGACACCAGGCTGCTCCAGAGCATAGATATCGCGCCTCAGCGTACTTGATAATATCTTGATGGACTGAGTGAATAGCTGATAGTGGATAGTCCTTGGGAAAGGAAGACAATTGTTCTGCATCTTGTGGCTAAGATATTCTTTTGCCGACTGATGGACAAGATAGACTTGTTCGTCGCGAATGGTAAGAAATGAGCCACATGAGGCTATGATTTTTCGGTGCATCTCTGTGGTCCCTGGTAGTGCACACAAACTTCCTGCTTCAGCGAGGTAGAGCGGACGGTATGCAACTGTTATCGTGCAAAGTAGAATCCGGAGCATATCTGCAGACCTTGGGTTCTGCTCGATCTGGCTTAACATTCGATCGTAGAACTGGTCTAAACCCGCTGGAGTCGTTTCCACTACCGCTAGAGGATCGAAGCAGTCATGTTTCTCGAGCTCTTGTATCATCAAGGCGACCCAGAGAAAAGTGCCGTCGGCCTTCTTCCGCATCTCATCTCTAATCTTATCGCGCACGCCATCTCCTTCAACAATGTCGAGTGAAGATAACTTGTGGTCAATATAGTCTTCTACCGCTTTCATGATTTGGCTAGCGTTTTGCTTCAGTTCTAAGCTCAGTCTAGCCTTGTCAGTGACCGACTTCAATTTCTGCTCGATATGGCTCTCGTTTCGGCTAGTCAACAGCCACATCACATGAGGCGATTTGGCGGTAGTAAGAATTATTAGGTCCAGCAGTTCATGTAAATTTGCGACACACTCATCAAGAGCGTCAACAAATAAGTAAACCGTGTTCAAGTCGTTGTCGCACACCATTTCCACAAAAATCTGTGACAAGGCTACCCAAGCATTTGTGTCCTCGAATAGCTTCTTGCCAACTTGATCGTACCGTTTTCGAATATGGGAAGTAAGTAATGGGTTCTGAATCACGAGCATATACAACAAGCCCCGCAATACCGCTACAGCATTGTTGATACGCGTATCAGTGGCTTGGCAGAAGAAGTACGCGATTGTGTTATTTTGTCTTGTCTTCTGCACCTCGTTAATTATACCGCACATCAGCATCGTCTTGCCTTTACCAGGATCGCCCTTAACCCAGAGTAGTCGAGTGCTAAGGTCTTGTTGCCACTTCTTGAAGGTGCTATTGTCGATGATCCAGCGGTATGAGTCGACCAGTAGACCGCCCTTTGTTGCTTCAATACGTGTCTTGTCATCGTAAGGATTGGCAGATTGTAGGTCCTGGACACACTTATTTTGCCTGTCGACTTCACGTTCGACTCGGACCATCGCTTCTGCTGGGCTCTCCTTATCAACTGGAGATACACTAACACCAAAGATGCCCATAAGAGCGTACACACTGTCTACCGGTTTGGTCGCTTTTCGATGTTCCCCCATGCTATGCGCTGCTGGATACTGAAATGAGGCAATGCTGCACCTTGTAATGCGGATTTAGGAATGCCTGTAATCCGGGATAAATCTGATATCAGCGACAGCTTATCACCAATCTCGTTTCCTTCTTTGTTGAAAAAGTAGACCTCAGATGGAGCCAGAAGTTCCTGTAATGTCCAGCATCGCGTGAACCATCTGCTTTTCGAAAATTCAAATTGATGTGCCTGACGATCAGGTGGTATACCGTGATGCTTAGGGAGATCGCTATTGACAGCCGAAGTGGGACTTGTAACATCTGACAAGTATACATAACATCGCGTGGCGTTCCGGTACCATGTGAACATCGACCGGATGCTGAAAGCAAGCTCAGTCCCATCATCTTTGTCTATACAGCAAGTATCTATCCAGAAGTACTGTAGGCCATCACGCCGTGCTTGTGTGCCGCAAAACCGGATCTTCTCGTAGCCAGCCTTGCCCTGACCGACTCCATTGTTGATGTCTGCATATGTCGCTTCTTCTTTTTCTTCCCCCCAAGTGTGAGAAAGTATCGCATAAGGAGGCACCGGCTCATCGTGAAAGCTCTTGATGGCGAGGGTATCGTCTTCGTTGTATGTGAGAAGACGCATCGACTCAGGTAGACTGGTAGTAGAAGGTCGAAATAGTTTGGGAGACGAGGTGCACCATACGTACGGCGAGTTTCAGGCAACAGTTCGCTGGAATGACAAAGCCTGGGGGTTGATGTAGCAGTCCTAGTGGGGTGGTGGCTGTGTGTTATCCTTCAGCTCGGCTAGCCATGCCAGCTTCGTGGCTGTTTGGTGGCTGCAGCTGTGGACATACGTGGAAATTTACTACGTGCTGGCGCATACGACAGAACACACAGGGGTCCCTTTAGAAATAGAAAATGCCGGATTTGCCAATTTTCTATACCAACAATATCTTCCTAATATGGTACTGTTCAACCACTTCTCTAAACTCTTCTAGTGGAACTCTTTAATAGGTCTCTATCGCCTTTTGTTAACAAGCTGTATTTAGTCCAAAAAATGGATTATATAGTATCATTTTGCCCAAGCCTCAATACAGGTTTAACTCCAATAAGGAATGAAGCGTTATAGTAAAAAAGATGAGATGGTGATAACCTGTCTTCTTTTAGCAATAGAACGCTAATATGTTTAGCCTAGTACATTATAAACTGGCTACAGAATAAACTTAACATGCGTATTACAAACTAACAAACGTTCCGTCGCACACGCTAACCTGTAGTACAAAGGGAGTGACTAGTGAGCCCGCAAAGGTCCTTGCGCTGTTTTTTTGCTGAGGGTGAGGTGGTGTCGAAGCAGATTATCGCGAAGATTGTATGGAAATTGGCCAATAGGTATGATAATGATGGGCGGCTTATCCTCGCTTTTTCTGGCATGTTGCCATGTATAGATCGTCAAAGGGGGGATTTAGGCTAACAGATAAACACATGAGATAGGAAGACTCCTGGTCGTATGCGTTTTGCTGCCTTGTGACTTAATTAGCATATGAAGACTTATTCAATACAAAAATATCTGATGCCCTAGGCTGAAATCATTCAGGGTTGACGCGAGCACTTGCGATGAAAGCCACTTGAAGCTTTTACATCTTGCTGAGTACATCGGGCCTCAATCTGGATTATGTCTTGCGAGATTACGTACTTCCTATGCATAAGACAGTGTCTCTGCGAGAGCTTTGAAGTACTCTCTCCTTACCAATATAAACTATCGCTACTGTCATATGTCTGTTAACATTACAGGTGGATGTATCTGTGTATACTTTCGCTGCTTCGATAGCATCGTGTTCAATGAGTTCCTCATGAGATTCTTCGCATTCGGGTAGTAAATGTCAATACAGTCATGCAACTATTGTCCATTGAATGCTCTGATGCGAGGGCGGGGACAGAGTGCTCCTTGTATCGCAGTCCTCTAGCAACCATAGTAGCCTCTTTCCGCTTTAGACATATGGTCGGACCACCTTGAGCATCTCTTGTACTATGCTCTTTGCACAGATGTGAGATATGCCATAGGGCAAATATTACAATGATTTAACCGAGAAAAGTAACAAAATGGATGCTATTATCGTGGCGAAGTTTTCGAGACCAGCCACAGCAACCTGTGTATGTACTCGGTGTGAAATGTTGCAACAACGTGATTGGCGGGCTGTTCCCCCACCAACCGTCATCTCGACGTTCCTTTTCCTAAACAGCGAACCTACACTTCACGACGGAGATATATCGAGCAAGAACTTATCACAAATATGAATAAAAATTTCCGCCAAATACTACCTGCAGCAGGAAGAGTTGACAGAGGGCCGCCAGTCGGGTCGACAGGCAACCAACAGACGAGGAAGCCACGATCGCTGGCATGCGAATCTTGTCGCATAAGCAAAATAAAGGTTTCACATCACTCCGAGAGAAATCTTTCGAAGGTCTAACCATCCTGCAGTGCACCAGTGAGAAACCATCATGTAAGGCGTGCCTTGAACGCAAAACGGTTTGCCGATACATCGAAACAGAATCACGTCAAGCCAAGCGAAAGTACGAAGATCTGCGAAAGAAACAGTCCGCACACGAAGAGCTGTTCGGGCTCATCCAAACACTATCTGAGCAGGATGCATTTGATCTTTTCAAACGAGTAAGGGCTGGAGGAGACGTTGGCGCCATCTTGGATCACGTTAGAGACGGCGATTTGCTGTTGCAAATGCAACTTGTACCAGAAACCAGACTCCGATATGAGCTTCCTTACACTCGCGATATTCCAGCATTGCTACTGAAATCTGGGAGCCCTTACCTCGGCTCATTGGTCTACGAAGCTGTTTCACAGCGTGCCTTGTCCTCAAAGGTGCATGGGCCTACAAATACAGAGCCTCAACAGTCTGTAGTTCCGGCAAGAGCTACGCAGACGTATCAGGACATGTACGTCAAGCCATATCATGCAGCAATATTTGTCGAGCCCCGCCTCGAGAACACAAGAATTTCGGAGTGGACTACCGTTTGTGGAGATGAAGGACTTATGCGAAAGCTGCTGGATGCATATTTTACACATGAATACCATCTCTGGCCAGTGTTTCACAAGGACTATTTTTTAGAGGATTTATCAAGTGTTAAGTCGCTCAATGCGAAGACATCCAGCAGTTTCGCATCGCTGGTGAATGCCACGCTAGCATATGCATGCGTAAGTATTACTATGCGTCTTCGGTACACAAGATCAATGCTCTGACTCTGCCCTAATAGTGCTGCTACAAGAATATTTCGAATCGCTTTCGCCATTGGGAACCCGACGGCCTTGGATACCGTTTCTTCGCTGAAGCAAGGAGGATTTGGGAAATGCTCGCTGTTAGCGGCAAAAATCGTAATCTTGCGTCGGTCCAGGCTGCGATGATCATCAACAGTGTTTACAATATCTATGGCTTAGACAAGCTTGGAAGTGCCTACGGCTTGAGAGGGCTTGCTATTGCTAGAGAGCTAAAGTTGTTCGATGGAAATGCACGGGTCAAGTCTGAGCGAAAACGCAACGCTAGGAACTTCTCTGCGTGGTGTCTCTTCAACATTTATAGGCAAGTACTTCGTGTCTTAATTACATTCTAGACGACTAATACCAGATTAATAGTCATATTGCTTGGCAATATCTCCGCCCACCCGTTCTGGTTGAGCCACCCAAGGCTGCACTTCCCGATCCTGCTACGAACTCAGCCTGGTACGGCGAGATATGGACCAGGTACCCTCTGAGCCAAACATTGTCGCCGACACATCATGCACATTACTTCAAAGCTATAACTGACTTCAGAGTAATCGTTTGTGAACTGTCGCATGCGTCATTTGGCAATGATTCACCACTTTCAGCACAGCAAGCGATGATATTCGTGCGTCGGTTCTTGAGCTGGTTTAAGGCCCTCCCTACAGTTCTCGAACCAAAAAATATCGTACTCCCCGCTCACTTTCTTATGCAGTAAGTCATCCTTTTCTTTCTTCCTCTGAGATCAAAGGAACTATACTCATTGACCCACCAGCCTCGACTATCACATTACCATTATGGCAATTTGTCAGCCTTTTACTAGTGACCAGTGGAACGATAAGTGTTCTCCCAAAGATATCGTTCTAAATGCAAAGCGCGACATCAATGTCCTTGTACGACTCTACTATATTCGCCACGGCTTCAAAGCCGCACACGTATACTTAACATCCCCACTCTCAAAACTGGGCTTCATGTCTCTGCAAAACCTCAACAACTCGACAACGCCGGAAGAACTTGAGCTCGACCGATCGAGTCTTCTTCTGGCTCTCGAAGGCCTGCGCGAACAAGGCCGCAATTACTACATGACAAGGACAATATACCACATCATGAAATCTCAGCTCCGACCGGAAGAAGCACGACTTCTCCAGGGCTTAGAGACGCCGGAAACGTCAGCTGATGAGAGCCCCAGTCTGGTGGTTGAGACACAGTCAGAGTGGCATCCCCGCATCGTTGACATCTCGGACGTCCCAGCCGATGAGCAACTGTCAAAGCTAGCAACCCAGTATCTGAAGCTTGATTCAGATGTGCAGAGTGACAGCGAGGTGGGCAGCAGTCCGGCTCCCTCAACGTAAGCTACTCCATATACAACAGCGCTTGATCTGCACTACGTGTGGATACTAAAGAGGCAACTTCGGCCGCCGATGCATTCGAAAAAGAAATCTCCATCGGTAATACTTAAGAGTCCACTCCAAGTCGTACAAACGTTGTTTACTGCACATAGTATGACTTGAGTAGTTTGTATCTGTTTAGTATATGTCCTACCAGATGAAATATCTCAGAAAAGAATGGCAGGCCGCACACCAGTCGTACATACATAGTATAATTAGATACCCGGCACGATTAAAACTCAAAAGAAAAATTGCAAAAAACAAACGGGCGATTGAATGTCCACGGTACAGCTTGGCGTATTCAATCCTCTGACTAATACTACTACTACCGTGTTGTATACTACGCTGATACGAGTATGGAAATTGCGTTAAGAAAAGGATCCCGTTGCCACTGCATTTGACCTAGATGCTACGGATCTAGTAGTGAAACATGTCGCAGTATCGTCAGAGGTTGCCCACCAGCCCCCCTGTTACTAACTGTTATTAGCTAATTACCACTTAGCTCAGCGTAGGTTTGCATGGTTATCACTTAATCCCAGCCACCTCTGTCCATTTACTAGCGTACCATATCAAGAACGGAATGTATTGCTTGTAAAGCGGGGAGAGCTATGGTTTTTCTTGTACACAAACAAAAAAGGCGCGCATCCGTTGCAGTTGAGTTTCTTCACTGCACTTGCATCTCTCTGACAAAGATAGTACTTGTTTCTATTCTCATCAGATTACACCAATTACATAGCTTCTTCATAGCTTCGCCTCTCCGACCCTAGCACACTCAGCTTCTTCTTCACCAGTCGCTCAAGTCTTTCTCAACTCACAGGTGCTTGTGGAAAAAGTCCAGTACCAACTTGTAACCGCGCTCGTAACCCTTCCTTACTTCCTCCTTGCTCAAATCACTGCGAGCAGCCATCCAGCCGTGGATCTGGTCTGGGAACCACTCTACAACGTGGGGAACTTTGATGCCTTGCTGCCACTTTTCAACGTCGCCCTTGTCCTCGTCACCCGATGGAAGCATGATGTAGGGAATGGTGATGCCAGGCGCATCGTCGCCAGCAACCATGGCGGGATGGCACGCCGCTGCGACCTTGAATTTTGTGCCCTCCATTGACGAGAGGTTGACAATCTACGTGGCGTCAGCATGTATTTAGTTCATGAGATAATTCGAGCATACCTTTCCACCCCAGCAGTAACCAATGATGGCCCACTTCTCGATGCCGTTCTTTTGGCTCAGCTCATCCACAATCTTGGGGATGCGCGGCAGAGTCTTTGGAGGTGCAGCCTTGGTCTGGAAGAACTCGCCCATCTTCTTCTTCTTTTCGTCATTGTCCGGTGGCATCCAGGAAATGTCGGCTGGGCTGCCCTCAAAAAAGTCGGGCATGAAAACCTGGTACTTTTGGCTGTCGGTGTAGGCGAGGATGTCGGCTCCCTGCAGAGTCTGGTTGAAGAAGCCAAAGATGTCGTAGACTACCAGGATACCGATCTTCGCGTCCTTGGGGCCAGTCGCATCTGAGCTACTGTTAGTATGAACTGTGATGGGCAATTGATGGAACTTACATGTCTTTAAACCATCAACCTCGATGTAGTCGCCCTTGGGCTGGTAACCCTGGCTGACGACAGCGGGGGTGTCACAGCACGCTTTCGACTGCGTAGATTCCGTCGACATATTTGCAATGGGCCGTGTTGGTATGGTGAGCTCTTGTTTATATGCACTTGGGCGCTGGTAGTTAGAAACAGATCGTGGTACAGCAATTGAAGCACGGCGCAAGTTGTGTGCAGCAAGGCGAGTAGGAGTAGATTGGAGAATTAATCTTGTACGAGCAATGGCGCGCATGATGAGCTGGTTCGGTATTTGTCAAGCTGCCATCAGCCGCTTGGTGGGGAAGCTGCCATTCGGACTACCCCACTCTCATGATGTCACCAGAGCCGGATGTGTAAAGTAATAGTATAGCTTCTTGTGCTAGTTTCTATCATTATATGGTATTTACTATGAATATTAGGTAAAAGACAGGTAATTGTAAATCTTGTTCTATTTCACCGTCTAAGCATCCAGGTTGAGCCTTTCTAGCAGAGTATCTATCTTGCCCAGCAAAATCTGGTAGTTCATTGCATCCTGCGCAAATTCATCACCCACCTCCTCGCCGTCTAGATTCCTAATGACACCAGTGGCAACCTGCTGCTCTACCGATGCAATCTTCTCGTCGTTTTGTGTCTTCTCTGGCCCATCATCTTCCAAAGCAAGATCGCCAACTGCATCTACAATATCTCCTTCAGTTGTTGCCCTGATTGCCGCATTCTCATCCATCATTTCGTCCAGACCACTGTCTTCAAAGCGAAGCCTGAAACGTTCCGAGAGATAGTACCGTATATCATCAACAAGTTCAACGGTATCTGTTTCCTGTCGGGCTTTGACGCGTTTCGCAGATTCTTGAACAAGCTCGGCAAATTCAGGCTGATCAATGTAATACTCGAGGCGGTAGGCAATGTATCTGGCTGCAAACTCTTCCAGACGTTGTACACGGGTATCCCAACCTGCGCGAATGACTTCGTAGATGTCAACAGCCTCATCGGCATCGGTAGCGCCGCGGGGATTATCAGACTCTACCGCCGAGGTGGCACCATTGCCCAGAGCAGAAATAATAATGGCTGCGCGCTGCTTGAGTTTCTCGATAAAGAGCTGATCTGCTGCAAATAGCACATCAATAGCAATGTCAAGGCCAAAATCTGCACGCTCAGTGTACAAAAACCTCAAAATGGTCTCAAGAACCGCTGGCGAGCAGTCAATGGTTACAACCTGCAAGTGGGGTGTGTCTTGCGCTTCCTTGAATTGGGAACTGAACATTGTCAGGAAATACTCCGAGCGCAGTAGCATGGCCCGATGTGCAGGAAAGACGGTCGATTTGCGCGGCGCTCGCTGTCGCGATGGTGAGCGTGCTCGACCTGGACCAACTGGTATACCTGAGAGGGGTCCAGAAGCGGTCCGGACAGGCGGAGTGGACGACTCTGACGGCCCCAGTGGCTGGCCTGTTTCATTATCCTCTTCATCTTCGTCGGCACGCAGCAGAATATCGGCAAAGATTGAGTTTTGGCGATCCCATCGTATGCTATCCACCTTGTCGGTATCCACGACCTTCTTGTGCCGGAGAACGTTTGTTTTGAACCAAGATTCCAATTGGTCCCGACCCCGTTCTAGTTCGTCTGCGCGCCGTTGGCGCAACAACCGTCGATCTGAGACTTCGGTGATGTCTTCAAACAAGCGTTCTATTTCTAGATGCTTGCCGATCTTATCGATACCGCTCAATACCACACGCTCTTTTTCGTCGTCAAGTCCAAATAGCGCTCGTCTAATCGAGACCTCTTGAAAGTAAAGGTACTGCAGCGCCACACCAAGCGACTCTGCTGGGATGGTATCTGGCAGTTTCCACGCAGATGTGTTGGGCGCTGCCTCGAGCTTCTTTGCAAAATATGGAGATCGCGCAGCGAGGAGAAACTTGTGCAGGTGAAATTCTTGGCCGTAGGCGGTGATTGTAATGTCGGTCGTCTTGGGCTCGGTTCTCGTAAGGAGGGAGGTGATGTGTGCGGCGAGGGGCTGCAGGGGATTCGACGACTTTGCATAGTCATAGGATAGGAGGAGGTTTCTTATGCGGTCATTGAGTGCGTTGTAGAGACATCGTTCGCCTTGGAAGGTATCGCGCTCGCACAGGGCGCCGTTCTCAAGCAGGAGGCGTATGACTTCGTAGTGGCCACACAGACTGGCCTTGAGCAGTCAGCGCATAGCCCCTGTGGTTATGCAGGGCAGCAGGGTGGGGTATCGTACCAAGATGAGGGGCGTGTAGTCAAACTTATCTCTGGCATTGATGTTGACTCCAGTGGAAATCATCTCCTGGCAGACCTTGAGGTCTCCACGGCGGCATGCCTCGCAAAAGAGTCTAAAGTCGTCGCTCAGGTCGAGAGGATTCTCTTCCTTGAGCTGGCCCGACGAGATGGCCTGCGCCTCGGTGGCGAGGGCGGCCTCGATCTCGTACTTTTTCTTGACATCCATTGTTTGTGCGCAGTGGCAACAAGCATCGAGGACGTGTGGACATGTACGATGTCCATGTGGTGCTACTACTATGACGAGGGTCGGCGCAGATCGGAGGTGTGCTATCGATAAGGGCGGGTACAAGGGAGACCCCGGCCAGCCAGCAGGACAAAGCCCGGCTAGTGCGCTGCGTTGCTGGGTTGACGGCCGCTAGCGTAAACAGCACCAAACACCTAAGAAACCTGGCCTTCTATCCCGCCTCTCCCGTCGTCCTCTGCACTCCTCCGCCACCGGTCCTCGAAGCTTTACTAACACAGCAGCAGCCTGCTCTTCTTTTTGTTTTTGCATACCCTACTTGCATGTCTTTTGAGCAATAGTCCTACCGCCACCATGCCCGAGGAAGACAAGTACGACGTTCTCGAGAAGATTGGTACGCACATGGCCTCGACGTCAATTCACGCTTCTGTCGCCTGCTAACAAGCTGCAGGCCATGGCTCCTTTGGAGTTATTCGCAAGGTCAAGCGCAAGTCGGATGGATATGTACGCAATTCAGGCACAAGTCACACCGCACACCTGCTGACCGCTACATAGATTCTCTGCCGAAAAGAGATCAGCTACCTCAAAATGTCCCAGAAGGAGCGTGAACAGCTGCAGGCCGAGCTGTCCATCCTCAAGGAACTCCGACACCCAAACATTGTCGCCTACTTCGAGCGCGACCACATCAAGGCATCCCAGGACCTTCACCTGTACATGGAGTACTGCGGAAATGGCGACCTAGGCCGCGTCATCCGCGAACTGAAGAACAAGAACCAAATGTGCGAGGAGGAATTTATCTGGAGCATCTTCAGTCAGATTGTGAGCGCATTGTATCGCTGCCACTATGGTGAAGATCCGCCCGCCGCTGGTCGCAACGTCATGGGTCTCGTCGGCAATGCGAAGCCTGTTCGCGACCCCCGCAAACCCATGATCCTTCATCGCGATCTCAAGCCTGAAAACAGTCAGTGCCCCCATTTTCCTGACACTCGTCTGTGCATGCTAACAGAAGCAGTCTTCCTTGGCGATGACAACTCCGTCAAGCTCGGCGACTTTGGCCTTTCCAAGATTCTCCAATCCCACGACTTCGCATCGACATACGTTGGTACCCCATTCTACATGTCCCCCGAAATCTGCAAGGCCGAGCAGTATGGACCTCATTCTGACATTTGGGCCCTCGGTTGCATCATATACGAGATGTGCACAAAGTCTCCCCCATTCAACGCCAAAACCCACTTCGAACTCATCTCCAAGATCAAGCTAGGACGCTACCCCGACATTCCTGCCTGCTATTCAGCCGAACTCAGAAAGGTCATTGCCAGCTGCCTGAACACCACACCCGATCACCGCCCAGATACTGCCGCCCTTTTGAACTTGCCAATCGTCAAGCTGATGCGCAAAGAGCAGGAGGTGGTTAAACTTGGACAGGATCTGCGCGAGCAGAGGATGCTTACTGCAAAGCGCGAGAAAGAGGCGAGCGAGGCCATCTCTCGAATCCGCAAAGAGCTCGACGACCAATTGCGCAGAGAATGGGAGGTCAAGGCCCAGCTAGAGATTGAGCGACAAGTGAAGCTCCAGACCGAGCAGCGCGTGCAAAAGGAACTTGCCCACCTTCAGGCCACATTTGAAGGCGAGGTAAACAGACGTGTAGAACGTGCTCTGAAGATGTACCCAACCCGACTCAGCACGTCGCCAAAGCTTGCTCCTCGATCCAACACACCGACAACTTCAGCAACAGGGCCATCAGCCGCCTTGTTCCCAGCCGATGTTGAGGCACCAACCGCCAACAGCTCAACAAATACGCTGAACACAGACTCTGATTTCGCGAGCGGAACAGACTTGTCATCGCTTTCCCTCGATGACACTGCCGAGGAAGCTGTCATTGCAGCAAGGCCAAAGGCGAAGCGCCCGTCTCGCGGTCCACTTGTGCGCGCTCGTACCATGTTCAACCAGCCTTCGTCAACACAAGTCCCCGACTCCCCGATGGACGTTCAGATGGCGGAGCCTTCACCCGCTCCGACATCCCTCAAGGGACTCTCTCTTTCTCCTCGCCGTAACGCGCAGCCTAAGCAAAACATCTTCGCTGCCGCCAAGGAGGGCGCAAAGAGGTGGGAAGCCGACGTCCCTCCATCGCCAACTGAGGCCGAGTGGAATGGCGACTTCGATGACGACGATGATCTTCCAGTACTACCATCGCCAACACGAGCCCGCAGCGCCTCTAGTAGCCGTCCCCGGAACGATGACCCATTCAAAGTCCTTGCGAATGCCCAGGCGCCGCTACTCAAGGCCAACACGCGTCTCGGTAATGCACCAAACCTTCTTGGTCCCAGGACTACCAAGCCACGACCAGTCTCTGCAGTACCCATTGTTGCAGCATCTCCCTCTCGGCAAAAGGCCAAGTCGACTGACAACGCATCGACGTCGCCACGGAAGGCGGGCGCTACCACCAAGGCAATCCCATTTGCTGGTCTCCCGTCAAAGAAGGGCAACGAAGCGTTCCGTGCCCAAGCTCTACGTAATAACGGCGCTGTTCAAGGTCGCACCCTTGTTGAGCTCCAGCAAGCACGCGGTATCCCCCTCCAGACCATGAGCGAGGACGAGGGTGGCGCAAAGAAGGGCTTTGGCTACGGTGGCAGGAGAAGCCCTGTTAAGCAACGAGGCGGCGGCATCAGCCCACCCGCTGTCTGGGATCCTAACACAGAGCCCGAGATGCCCTCTCCCTTCATTGTCCGCAGCAAGCGCATGGTCCTATAGGGAGGACGAGCTGTTACAGCTCCGGAACGATTACGACAACTACGACAGTACGATGAAGAGGAGGGGTGATATATATACACGGTTCCGGAGATACACACATACACACATTTCAAGGCGTTACACGAGAAGGTCTCAAGGATCACTCGACTGGGGATTTTTTTTAAACGGATATGGAGTGCTTGGCGTAGAAGGTGGGGATTGCTGCTTGGAAAAAGCCAAAGGCATATTATGCTTTTGCGTCCCGTCTTTCCCGACTAGTTCCCTTTGTCACATCATTTCCTTGCATGTCTGCTTCTGCCACTTTTTTTCTTCCTTCAAGGAATCGAGAGGCTTCCTCTATTTTCAGGGCGCATACGAGCATTTTATTTTTGATGTGTTATGTTTTGAGGGATTGGATTGGACAGAGGCGTTTTTTTCCTTCGGACGATGCTGCAGCTGCACTAATACTGTTGAACTGCACTGCATTTGTACTCTAGTCTCTTGCTTCTCCTTGTGTTTTCCTTTTCCTTTGAGACGAATTTTATTGCTATATTTCGATCAATGACAGATACCCGAAGTTACACTGATGAATGACTTTGCAAATGGAATTTGATCAAGTAGCTGTGAAGGTGATGTTTAATATCTAGAGAGCTAACTAGTGATACAAGGGAAAGAGGAAGCAAATCTAGGAACAAGAAAGGACCACGATTTTCTAGGCAAGATCCTCAAAGCATCATCTTGAAAAGACAGCCGAGGAAACACATATTCACACTATTCGCCTTCCTTCACACCCCCCCCCCCCTTCCCCCCAAAAAAAGACAACATCATTACAACACCGAAACCACAAGTTACCACTCCTTTCCAAAACCTCACCACCCAAAACTCTCAGCATGTAAATAAATCCCCTGCGCCCCCGTCCCCTTATGCACCGCCCTCTCATCACTCAACGCCACAACGTGCCTTCGAACATCACTCACCAACCCCCGAGGCCCACACACGACAACACCGCTCTCTCCCCACGCCTGCTCGAGCGACTTGCGAATGATGTCGCGTAACTGGGGGCGCCCAGCCAGAATAGCAATGGAAGGGTGCGTAACCGTCAGCGACGTATTTCGCGAGTGCGAATTCCGCGGTGATGATGACGCGTTGGCGGTGCAGCAACATGCTGTTCTGCGAGTAAGTGGATCGTTTTCTGAGATGATGGCGCGACAGTAGCAGGTTGGTGGGCTGATTGGGGTTTGGATGGTGGATGGGTCTTGGAGGTCTAGGCTGGTTGATGTTTCGTTTGAGCGGATGTGGTGGATTTCTTGTTTCTCGGTGGAGGTAGACTTGTTTTGGGAGGTGGGTAGGGAGGTATATTTGGGGTCGTTGTAATGCGGGGTGCCGTGTATAGTTTCGTTTTGGCGTGATGATGAGGTTGCTGTGGGAGGGAGTATGTCTGAGATGAGAGATTTTTGGCCTTCGGTGAAGGAAGGATCGCAGGTTATGTAAACGCTCATTTCGAGCTTGATGTCCCGAAGTCTTTCTTGGAGGGTTTGGAATTCGACGTAGATGGAGGTGAGTTGTTCGGAGAACCAGTTGAGTTGGCCACTGCTCTTTACAACCCAGACAAAACGGATATGGCGTGTGACCGCGCCAAGCGGTGTCTGGAAGAACGACTTGGGTTTCAAAGTACTACGGTTAGCGTTTTCCTGCCAACCCCGGATAAGGTCGCGAAGTAGTGGCATAGTGAAGGTACTTCCGGTGCTACCTGCCACAAGAACAACACTGTCGAACTGTCGGAGTGGTCGCAAGGTACCATAAGGGCCCTCAAATGTTACCGATTTGGTCTTTGCTAATGCTTCAGATGAACTGTCTGACTTTTCAGCAAAGCTACGGAAGCGCTTAGTGCCACCCTTTTCAGCCTTGACATAAAATTCCATTCGCCCATCTTCGGGTATTGTGGCAATGGTGAAGGGATGGCTCTGTAAAGGCACAACTGATTGACAGGATAGGTATACATGTTGACCGGGCTTCCAGCTCATTGGTGGGTTTCGGACAACTATCTTTGTTGTCTTATTCGATAGAGGTGTGAATTCGGCTTGGCACGTTAAAAAGCCTTTGGTTTTTTCTTGCTGTCTTTGCGTAGGATGAAAGAAGGAGACGTTGAAATATAAGATGCGTGAAGCTCGCACGACGCGATCAAACAGGAAAATGGCAACCGGTGCCCAGACGTAGCCATGCATTTCGCCGGGGCTATGGAGATAGACGAACGCCAGGAAAACAGCAAAGGAGATGATGTGCTGGATGACAAAAATCTCGTAACTCCATCCTCGGATTGGCGACATGGAACTAAAGACGATCCAGAACAAAGCACACCAGGCAGCAAGACCCTTCCATACAATTTTGCTGTGCTGAAGCTGGTAGCCAATATAATCGTAAGGCGCCCACGCACTGAAGAACCAGCCCATGTGCATGGTAGCTGTCAAGAGCATACAGCGAGCACACCACCGATGTATCCAGTTGAGTCGCTCGTAGCTTATCCCACTGAGATGGCCGATGATGTTGTTCTTGCCCGCCAGCAGGACAATGATTGGGAACTGTGCGATTGTGACAACACCACATCGAAAGCCGACGCTCTCCCGGTTGAGTACACTGTGCAGATCCAGCCCATAGAGACACAGCACGACAAGGACAACCACGTTTGCCAAGATCAGAGAGGTTCGACCAACGGTGGGTAATCTAATGGTCCGGCCTTTGAGGGGTATATGTATCGAATAACTGGATGCCTCTCGGGTCAGGGCATATGTGGTCGCGTTTCCGAGCGCAAGCCATGATTTTGGCTTTGCAGGCGTTGGCGCACCATGTCCTGCTTCAGATAATCTTTGTCGATATAGCAGGTAATTGTAGACATTGACAAGCGTGGCAACGGCAACGGCGCTGCCGACCACTGCATAGTAGAAGTGTGGGAAGTCTCTGAGGGCGGGCAGTGAGCCCATGGAGCCCATGGACATGTGGCTGTGGCTCATGGTGTCTGGTGTTGGCGCGTTGTCGCAGCGTCTTGCCCGATTTGTATTCCCAGTTCTCTACACGGCTTCGGAATGGCTCCTGTGATAAACACCAAGCCGGGGAAGCATATGCCAACAGTTTCGTCTTCAGCACATGCTGGCAGTCTTGGCCACGGGCAACGAGGGCGTGTCTCACGACGGTGGCTATTAGTAGTACGGTGCGCAAAGTATAATGAAGGAAATGGAGCCAAAGTAGGTGGAGGTGGTAGAGAGTACGTGCAGCAGTGGTTCAGCGGAAGGTCTAGGGCTCCATCGGCCACGGTCCGGGCAAAGTTAACCATTTCATTGCGCTGCCGTCTTTTGATCAACTTGGATGCGGGCCCGATGGACTGGGGTAACGGGCTTGCTCGATAGCCCAGAGCCGTGGCGTTGCTTGAGCGTTGGACGCTTACCGAAAGCGGCTAATTATGCTCAAAGTGACTCCATGGACTCCCTGGCACTCACCAGACGGCGAAGGGGGTTCGTTCGCTCGTAACCACCCTGCATTACGGCCTGCTCAAATCTGACGGCATTATTGTTAGCTTACCATGGCCGAGAACTCTCTTCCTGACCCCTCGGCAGCTGGGCGCATCCGGGAAATATGCTCACCTGCCCCGACACTTCACGCCTCAGCCCAGGCTCGCCATCTTCTTGACTGTCGCAAGATCCCTCTCATATTTCTCTCAGCTGTCGACACAGGACCGACGCCTCGACGCCTCAGGCTTATGCGTCTATGCTAACTCTTCTACCCGTGTGTCATCCGAGATTAGAACCAGTCAGGGTGCAACCCCACACGTTACCAAAGGAACCTTTAAGCGACCGCCTGCCCGAGTATTGGTGTAGCAGTCTGGAACTCGGAACCTAATTGTCAACACCTGTCTCTCCCGCGCAACGGAATCGATAGCTTCTGTGAAGCCTCGCCACTACCAGTCTTCCTCTCGACAGTCTATTCCATCACTTTTGCATAATGGTTGCACACGGAGGCCACGATGAAATGGCCATGGGGTCATCGGAGGGAATGCATGCGAGCGAAACATCCAGTCATGGCGGCATGGCAATGGCCTTCTTCACAGCAACCAACACTCCATTGTACTCCAAGTCATGGACCCCATCATCAGCTGGTCAATACGCTGGAACCTGCATATTCCTCATCCTCCTCGCTATTCTTCTCCGCGCTATCTTCACAGCCAAGACCTTTCTTGAAATCAAGGCAGTAAAGAACGCTCTGCAGCGCCGCTACGTTGTCGTAGCTGGTGAGAAGACAGTCCTCGACGACGATGCCAACTCGACACATGGCATTCTTACGACCAACGGCGTTCAGGAGAACGTCCGGGTCGTGTCTGCACCAGTATCTCACATCCAACCCTGGAGATTTGGCGTCGATCTTCCACGGGCCTTTCTGATGACGGTTGCGGCGGGTGTCGGATACCTCCTGTGAGCAGACCATCTCCCAACTCGTACATACCGATGCTAACATTACAACAGCATGCTGGCAGTCATGACCTTTAATGTCGGATACTTTCTGTCTGTCCTAGCGGGCACGTTTGTCGGTGAACTTGCTTTCGGCAGATTCAATCAGGCCGCACCGCATTAATGACCGAAGAGACTTTGCTTTGACTTTGTATCCGCACCGTGCCGGAGTCTAATGTTGTAGATGCTCTTGTAATACCTGCCCACTAGATGATTAGTTACCCAATTAGATATTTTCAACAAACAATAACTCGCTTTCAGCAAGGTCCGACCTCGGTCATTTGCAAATAGTGTATCCCCGGACTTTACCTGTCTTGACCATAAAGCTTATTTCTCCTTTTCTTTATCGCGTCTCACATACCCGTCTCACCGTGTACACACGCACATGTACATATTATTTCCGTGAGATCTTCGTGTCGAAGCTAATGGCAATCTCGAAGCCTAGGCCGGGTAGGGGTGGGGCTGATGTGAAAGGGACCCCTGTCATGCGCTAGTGACCATTCATCCATAGCACCGCTGCTTTGGTAAGAAACTTGCTCACGCTTCTGCATTCACAGAATAGTCGACCCTGATTCCTACCAACCAGACCATACCGCCACCGGTCCAGTATCAAGTATCAAAACAAATAGCTCACTGGCTTGTATTCTTCTGGCACCGGTGCGTATCAGAGTCCGCTGCTGGGCACAGGTGTGGCTGCATCGGCTCGATGTGCACGCCACACCCTGCAATGGGAAAGAATGCACGGCATGACGGGAAGCAAGTACGCCCGTTCCTTGGGTCTAATAAATAAGGAACGACGCGCCTGTACTTATTAGACCGCCTGGCGCATGCAAGCGGATTGTCTGTCCCAAATCACGCCTCCTCGTTAATATCATTCCTCTCACTCTCTCCCTTTCTCTCTCTTCCTCTATTCATCTCCCGAACTATCAACACCTCTACACACACACACCGGTCAGCGCTCAAAATGCTCTCCAACACTTTCCTCGCGCTCTCTCTTCTTCCCCTCACTCTCGCTCATTTCAACTTCAACTTCCCTCGAGCGCGTGGCTTCGACGAGGATAAGGAGGGTAACTTCCCCTGCGGAGGTTATGACCAGGTCTCAGATCAACGCACCGATTTCCCCATCAGTGGTGGCCCTATCCAATTGGTTCTGGGCCACCCACAAACAAATGTCGCCGTATACATGGCGGTTGGCGACAACCCTGGAAGCGGATTCAGCATTGTCCTAAAGCAACAGCTCATGGTTGAGGGTCTGGGTAACTTTTGCTTGGGCTCGGTTAGCATTCCCAAAGACCTAAACGTGACTGCTGGCACGAAGGCATCTATTCAAGTCGTTACCAATGCGCACAGCTCTGGCGGTCTATTCCAGGTAGGTCATTGAATCAGGATACACGGACGTGCTGGATCGCTTACAAAAATACAGTGCGCCGACGTTACTCTTGTCGACAAGCAGCTCTCCCAATCAGAATTCCAAGACAACTGCAAGAACAACACGGGCGTAAAGGTGACTCAAGAGAATATCTCTGGTAACCCCAACTCGACGGCTACGGGTGCGGGTGGCTCGGATGACGGCGACGACGACGACAAGCCCACAGCGTCTAGTAGTGGTAGCGGTAGTGCAGCGTCGCCCACAGCGGCTAGCGCAGCGACACATGTCCAGGCCATTTCATGGGTGTTGGGTGCTATCGGTCTTGCTGGAATTGCTATGCTTTGAACAATGTCTTTGGGTTGATGGCGTTGATACCAAATTGAAAAAGTTATTTGCACAGTGTGTCAGTGTGTATGCAGTCTAGCACTGCGCTTTCTTTCCAGCATTTCTTTTTACCAGCATGCATAAATCGGCTGCTTCTTTGCGAAAAAAAAAGAGCTGTCTGGGCGAGCCTGAGCTTGGCTATCAGCCTGATATGGTAAAGTATCAATCAGTACAGAGTTGCCTGCCAGTGACAGACAGCATTGGGAAAGTTTTCAATGGAGTGAGCAAAGATGAAAGGCGACTAGCTTCGAACGGAACTCAATTCACTGGTCGTTCAAATGGCGGCGGTGCGTGGTGGAGGCACGCGTGTCTTGTGTTCGAAATGGCTCTCATGTCTAGTGTTGATTGCGCGCCCCTCTCCTCTGACGTTGCGGGGAAGGAGCTTCCAACAAGCGAGGCAAGCACACAATCGGCGCTTCCGTAGAGTTTCGCCGATGCCCGCAACAACTTCACCAGCTACACCACACTCCAAGTCTCGGCCACGATCCCGAATTCAGGTGCGTACCGGTCCCGTATCCGCTGCGGCCTCATCCGCTCGACCTTCCGTGAGATTGTAGCCCGACCGCTGACGTTTGGCTGCCATAGATCTCCTCACCAAGTCACCTTCTTTCTCAACACCGCAAATATGGATCACGCAAAATTGGCGCGTATGCAGGCGTCAGTGCGCATTGGTACGTATAAGAAATTTGGCCCAAAATCTCCCTCGGGAGGAAGCAGCTCATATTCGCTGGATACTTGTCCGCTAACATGTGTGCATAGGGTAAGCAACGCTCTTCGCGATCTATTTTGACAGCCCCGCACCAAACAACGGCTCCGAATTTGCGAAACACCACCGCAACCCGCGATAGCCGAACAAAGACTCACAGATGGAGATGGCGCTTATGAGGTACACAAGGCTAATTGGATCAATAGCGGCAAGGGCACTCCCCGCAGGAAGGTCAAGAAGGTCCACAGGGGCGCTGGTACCGACGACAAGAAGCTCCAGACCGCGCTGAAGAAGCTCAATGTCCAGCCTATCCAGGCCATTGAGGAGGCCAACATGTTCAAGAGTGACGGCAATGTCATCCACTTCTCGGCACCCAAGGGTACGTCACCACCTTTCCACTCATTGCAATGCCGGGGGGGTATTTGAGGTGAAGGAAGCATTGCGTCGCTGGGGACACATCTGCATTTCGTGTTACCGGATCACCCGTGCTTTCGTACCTGCAGCGACTGACATTTTCGCCATTGTAGTCCACGCCTCAGTACCCGCCAACACCTTCGCCATCTACGGACACGGTGAGGACAAGGAGCTGACAGAGCTCGTCCCCGGCATCCTCAACCAGCTCGGCCCCGACTCGCTCGCATCGCTACGCAAACTCGCTGAGTCTTACCAGAGCATGCAGAAGGAGAAGGGCGAGGACGGCGAGAAGAAGGAGGACGATGACGAGGATGACGATGACATCCCCGACCTCGTCGCCGGCGAGAACTTCGAGTCAAAGGCCGAAGTCGAGTAAGAAGCTACCCCAGTCTTAGCCGAACAAAGACTAGGCAGTGTTGAGGAGGAGGCTACGTGCAATGATGGCCTGCCGCATGTACATTGGTTTCGAGGACTTCATGAATGCAATGATCATTACGGTCAGCAGCTGCGGCGAGTTTTGCATGCACATACCGGGCTGGCGTTATATCTCGGGAAAAAAAAGATATGAATGAAAGTCTTCTAGCATGCTCCCCATGTGCTCACCATGCACCAATTGCAACTTCTGAAGGTACGTGCATGTATGCAGACGTGAACCTTTGCATCTTGAACGTGTAACCAGCTCGACTCCATAGATCTTTGCTCGAGGAGTTACAGGCGCTTTGAAAACGCTCAAAGGCATTCACCCTGTATCCCTATGGCTAACCTAGGATGGCCGTTGACGAGGTATATAATCTAGAAATATGGAACAGGTCTGTGTTGATCGCAATTCCTCGTATCTGAGTTGACACCAAGTCAGCGACGGATCAGTTATCGGGACTAAGCATGAAAAGGCTAGCAGCGACATACTTAGGCTTGGCGCTATCTTCGCAAGTGCAAGCCTCCAAGATGCGGCCACCCGCCTGGAAAGCTTGACTAGGGGAACCAATGCGATTGATAGGCACGAGCATATGCATACTTCAAATGATCAGTGTTGACAGGTTTGCGACAATTATCTACGAAAGCCATAATAGGTGCGCTCTCCGCGATAACACGGTCCAGACGCTCTTGTGGGTCACGACTCGCGATTATGACGGCTCCCCACTTGGTAGTATGACCCTGAGTCTTGAACCGCGCCCCAAACCTTAATGCCATGTGTCTTGGGAATAATTTCTTTTGCGACCCCTTTGTTTATTTTCTTGTCGTCCTCTCCAAATACCCCTCCTGAGTGCATCAACAAACAACAACACCCAGGATGAGTACCGAAACCATCCTCATACTCGGCGGATCGTTCGCAGGCATCAGCGCCGCCCACTTCTTGCTCAGGCATGTCGTACCTCAGCTGCCCAAGAAGGATGATGTCACGTACAATGTCACCATGGTCAATCCATCAAAGGATCTTTGGTGGCGCTTTGCTTCACCACGCGAAGCTGTCTCGAAGCAGATGATGCCTTCGGACAAGACTTTCTACCCAATCGAACCTGCATTCGCGTATGCCTCTTCAAAGTTCAGGTTCATTCAAGGCATGGCGACACATGTGGATGCTGCTGGGCAGATTGTGTCTGTTGAGACTGCATCTGGCGAGCAGCAATCGATTCCCTATGCGGCTCTCGTGATTGCAACCGGATTTACGACACCGAGTCCGCTATTTACACAGGCTACTGATCGCGAAGCCCTTGAGAAGGTACATGCCGCTTTTCAGGAGAGCCTCAAGACAGCTAAGGACGTGATCATTGGCGGAGGCGGACCAGTCGGTGTCGAGACAGCAGGAGAGATTGCAGAGATGCTCAATGGCAAGCCAGGCTTCATGGCGTCTGCACCCAAGAACCCCAAAGCACAAATCAGAGTCTTTGTCGCCGACAGGCAGCTCTTGCCTCTTCTCCGGCCTGCTATCGGACAGACGGCCGAGCAATTCCTGAAGCGACTTGGGTGTAACATCACGTATGACGTAAGGGTCATTGGGTCATCTAAGATGAGTGAGGGGGAAGGCGGAAAGACCCGGGTGGATCTCTCTAATGGAGAGATACTCGAGACCGACATATACATTGACGCGACCGGTACCCGACCCAACACTGGCTTTCTCCCCAAGGAGTGGCTCGACAGCCGCAATCGTGTGGCCTGCAATGCGAAGACTCTCCGCCTCGAACACGAATCTGCCAGCCCTCGCGTTTACGTAGTGGGCGACGTAGGCTCGTATACCCGAGGAGGTGTCATGGACATGTACGACGCGGTACCTGTAGCCATGACGAACCTCAAAAACGATCTGCTGGCCCACTTGACCGGCGAGCCACACAAGGGCGACCGCCACTACGTTGCGAACACGAAGGAACAGCAAGTTGTCCCCATTGGTACGCAGAAGGGTGTTGGCGCGTTCAATGGGTTCCGATTGCCTAGCCAGATGGTGTGGTTCATCAAGGGCCGGGACTATATGATTTCGCAACTTGCGCAGGCCACCTTGAGGGGCGATCAGTTCAAGAAGGAGGGTAAGTGGACACCTGTGCAGGAGACAGGCAAGGCTGGATTAGGCGCTGCTTGATCCTGAATTGTTGTTGAAGTTTAAGAAAGGCGGCCGGTACAGCGACGGCGTCTTGGATGTATTTGGATGTATTTGGATGCGTGGGCCTGGCAGAGGAGCGTCGCATTGCATTTGTCTTCGATGGAATACCCCTGCTGCATAGCGCGCATTGAACATACACATGATTATAATATTATTACTATTCCAATCCTATTTTACGTGTAAGCCCAAGCCGTGTTCAATTCCCCATGTCACAAGATTGCCGATCCATTTATGCGTGAGATGATCGCGGACGCCCCACACGAATAAGCTTAAACTTAGCGCGTCATAACCAGAGCTCCAAAATTTCCCAACGTCGACGTTCGACTTGTACAACACGCTGCGCAATATATTACCTGGCCTTTTCTGAGCCTTCACGATCGAAACCTTCTCAATGGCGACTGAGACCCGTCCACCTCCAGCTCTCACCTTTCCCCGCCCCATCTTCGCCGCTGTCTCTCCACACCCGTTCCTCCAAGCGCACCTCTCTGCTGAGAAGAAGAAGCCTGTACGCGCCAACGGCCGAACCGCCAATGAGTTCCGAACACCAGGAGTAAACACTGGTAGCTTGACACATTGCAATGGCAGCGCAGTCGTGCGCCTGGGCAACACGAGCGTGGTTTGCGGCGTACGTGCAGAAATCTTGAAAGAGGAAGACATATCAGGCGCCTTTGAATACCCCAAAGATCTGGCAGGCCAGGACGATTCACCGCAAGAGGAAGATAGTGAGGAAGTAGAAGGACTGAGGCTGGTGGTTCCAAACGTCGAGCTTTCTACTGGAAGCACACCCTCGCACATTCCGGGCAACGCTCCCTCAACATACGCACAAACACTCATTACGCGGATACGATCGCTCATTCATTCAACGCGACTACTCCGCCCTTCAGATCTCCGTATTCTATACAAACCCTCTACAAACCCCGAGGACCCCGATGTGGAAGCTGAAACACAGTTGAAGGGGTACTGGGTCCTGTATTTAGACATCTTTTTCATAAGCATTGATGGAAATGCGTTTGATGCAGCCTGGATATCCATGCTCGCTGCTCTGCGCGACACTCTTATACCACACGCATACTATGACGAGGAGTTTGAGGGGATACTATGTTCCGACAATCCGCAAGAAGCGCGTCGATTGCGATTACAAGGTCTGCCGATACCCAGCACATATGCGGTGTTTGAGGGCAGGAAGGAAGAAGATGAAGACGTAGACTGGGTACTCAGTGATCCTGATGCTTTTGAGGAAGGAGTATGCAGAGAGACTGTCAGTGTAGTTGTGGATTGCCAGGGTAGGAAGAAGGGCACGAAGGATTTGGTGATTCGAAGAGTGGAGAAGAGTGGTGGGGGTGTCGTTGGAAGAGAGCTAATGGGCAGTTTGATTAAGAGGAGCATTGATCGTTGGGGTGCTGTCGAGGCTGTGCTGGGCGGCAAAGCCTGAGCGAGGTTGCACCCGCCAGTGGACAGCATGGAACACGCATCCGAAGATTTGATTGTCTTTGTGCACGGATCATAGGTGTGAGCAAGGTAGCGGAGTGCAGGCTCGTGGCTCCAAGCGTAGAGTTGCACGATACTGTGGTAGGTAAGCTACATTGAAAACCCGCTTAACGGCAGACTCAACCTGTTTGAGTGGGTTTGGTACGTTGGATACTGGGAGAGATATCACAGCAAGACGGCTTTGTGTGTGCATATACATATGTATGTACAAATGATAGTACCACAGGGAGTGCACATGTACGCACTGTGAATCGAAGCACGAAGCGGCACGGTATAGGCTACCTGCAGACAGATTAATTCGAGCAGCGCATATTATGTCAGGGAAATGATATCACATGATTGTTTTATCCATCTCCTATCTTACACACGCACGTCCGTCATCAGTCCCTCAAAACTACCCGACTACCGTAGTGGAACGCCATTCGTGCCGCTACACCGACGCACTACGCTTCCCACGATGAAGTGTAGATTACGGCAAGACACTGGAGCCGAAGCCGCCAGGGGAAATGTGTAGTAATAGAGTACGTCGATCAATGTAATCCACGTGGCTCGCTTGCGGGTAACAGGTGTTTGATGAAAAGTGGAGATGTGCATCCCTTATCGATACTGTTTGGGCTTCTGGGCTGTTGTTGAACTGGCAGGCGATGGGGCAGTCAAGTACTAGTCAGCAAAATTCGTCAGCAGAGAGAAAAAAACAAGTCCGACTACTGCAGAACGGCATGTTGGCGGCCGCTCTCTACCAACCGGAGTATAACTGCGGGAACGCGGGACTTCTCGAACTAGACACTGGAGCGAAATACAGGCTAGTGTCTGCACCACGGTCGGTCCATGCATGTCGGCGTGAAGGTCACTAGACGAAAGCGAGTCGCTGCCCCCCTCCTCTCATATACTGTGTTCGCGTACGCGAAAAACGCACACTCGGGGTTCGAAACTTGACAGACGGGTCTTGCGTACACGGCGGAAGACACTATCCCTAGGGGACATGTCGCTTCCAGTCACTTGGGAGGTGTAATCACTGAATTGACTTTCGTGGCGGCGGCGTAGCGGCTACAAGGTGTTCAGCTCCACATTCGGACTTCAATACCAAGAGAAAAAAAAAAGAACAAGCCGTGTTGTTTCCCTTACGTCGGCAGATTGTTGTTTCGAACAGAATTCCAAGGCGCTTGTCTATGGAGAAGCCGAAGAGGAAACTGTAGCAGCTAATCGAATGCGAGGGCTGACGTTAATCTAAGGCAGGGGCAGACATCACCGTTTGAAGATCAGCCACTTTTGGGACGATCGTGCCACTTAGCGCTCGCGTGGCTCCTCAGGAACAGGCCTGGTTTATTCCCATCCTATGGATTATGTCAACCCGCTATCGGAACTGTCGAAGAAAGAAAACACTCCCGCTGCTGGGCGTCGCGCGAACGCCTTGTCGCTTTGTTTCAAGTACCGATGGCAGAGAAGCTAGACGCTCTCGCTAATACACAATGCTGTCTGACGCTTTCTCTCAACTTTCTGCGGGCCTTGTCGTGACCTTCGATTACTGAAACTTGTTTCTTGGTATCTGTTTGTCCCGCTTCGCCCGAAGGATTCGCTTTATCCTACCCCCTGACACCCGTGCCGCTTGTGAACTGCGCGCGGCTCCCCTGGCTCAGATCGCCACCACCCGGAAACGGGTGTGGATCTAGTCGTTTTGGTGTCACTTCTAGACGCCTAGGCTTATCTTGATAGAGTCCGTGGCATGGGGGCTGCCCACCGTGGCTGCATGCAATTCCACATGCAGGAGGCCTTTTTGGCGTATATTTATCTAAGGCCATCTCCCCCCTTCACATTGTCTTACCTTCTTTGCATCTGCATCACTGTCCCTCTTTCTCTCTCTCTCTCTCTCTCTTTTTGGCTTCCGGTACAGGAATACCATCCCTTCCTTCTTTTTGTGGACTTGTCCATACACACTCTTTTTTTGTGATTTCCAGAGCATCTAGAGTCCGTGACTCGATACCTTCATTCACACACAGCTCACTCCTTTTTGCTGTTTTACGACACAGATTCACTGTACAAGACACCCGAACATTGTCACTGAGCCATCATGCGTTTCGACATTGTATCTCTCACGGTTGGCTTTGCCGCCACTGCCTCAGCTCAGTGCTATGGCAACTACTTTAGCTTCTACAACCGCAACGGTCCGGCTATGAGCTACCAGCGTCTTGACCCCGGTCTGTTCCCCGGAGCTGAGAGCCCCCATCTTCACTCCTTCGACGGAGGAAACGGACTGAAGCAGACGGTCGACTATGCCGGCCTCCAGGACTCATCCTGCTCCACTGCTCGCGTCAAGAGCGACAAGTCTCTGTACTGGCGCCCTACCTTGTTCTACAAGAGCGACGCCGGTTTCCAGCGTGTTCCCGAGAAGGCAACCAAGATCTACTACAAGTATGGTGATGGAAACAACTGGGCAAACGTCACTGCATACCCAAAGGGTTTCAACATGGTTGCTGGAAGGCCCAACAGGCGCAGCAACAGTGACGACAACGCAGCCGGTGTCCGCTGGGGCTGCCACCAGCCCGACGGTGGCGAGACGGCTATCTTCGACAACGGTTTCCCCAAGGGCTTCACCTCTTGCAAGTTCGGCTTCGCCTCTGAGGTCACCTATCCTTCTTGCTGGAACGGACAGCCCATGGACCCCAAAGATGGCTATGCCCACATGGCCTACCCCAACGGCAACAGCGGTGTTGGTATTGAGAACTGCCCCGTCACCCACAGAGCCGCACGCTTCCCTACTCTTTTCATCGAGTACTGGTGGGACATTTCATCGTTCAAGTTCGGTCCTGATGAGGCTCCTTGGGTTCTCTCCAACGGTGATGCCACTGGCTACGGCTTCCACGCTGACTTCGTAAGATTACCTGTTTCCATTCTGATTCCCCTATGCTAACTTGACCACAAGATGAACGGATGGGACGAAGGTGTCCTCGACAAGGCCATCAGCGAGAACGACGGCTGCAAGTGCGGCTGTGGCTGCGGTCAAGAACAAATGGAGCAGTGCTTTGGCTCCGCCAACGTCAACAAGGACAGCGATGACTCCTGGGCAAACTGCTCTGCCGCCGAGTCCCGCATGTCGTACGACACAGAGATCCTAGACACCCTCCCAGGCTGCAACCCCGTCCAGTACGGTCCCGCCTCTGCCACTCCTGCCTCCGGCGCTGGCTGCAACGCTGCCCCAGCTGCCCCTACCGGCAACAAGAGCACTCAAGCAGCCTCCTCCCCAGCTGCAACCCAGACTCCCTCCGGTAACACCTCAGCCCCCGCCAACTACAAGTCTACCTCCAAGGCCTCTCCCGCCGTAACCCCCGACGCCACCCCCGAAGCCGCCAGCTCTCCCACCGTCTACCCCTCCTACGCCGCCGGCCTCCCCAACAAGGGCGTCGACAAGGAAGAGGAATCCGGCGACTACGATGCCGCACAGCCAACTCCCATCGCTTCTCCTACCAGTGCCTCCGCCCCAGCTGATAAGACTCCCAGCCCAGTCGCTGGCGGCGCCAACAACAGCGATGGCGAGGAAGAGGGCGACTGCAAGCCCCCCGTCACAATCACATACACCCCCACCGTCACCGTCACCGCCACCGCTGCAAACGTCGCCGACGCAAGCATCTGCACTGGTGCACCGACTGTGTACGAGACCTTGACTGAGACGGTTACTGTGCAAGCTTCGGGAACCAAGGAGACTCCTGCCTCGTACTAAGCTATACATACTAGTAGTGTGCCACTCGGCCATTTTGGGCCATTGTGTAGAATTAGCAGCGCTTTCAGGCGTCTGCACGCGTGTGGTTGGTCATTCGTTCTCTTTCGAACCACCATTCAAAGATGGATTGTTTTTCTAGGAGATCTTCATTGTATATATATTACCTGCCATGACTGAGAGGAGAAATAAATGAAAAGGATTGGAGTTGAAAGAATTTTGTGCACATGTCTCCATTGTGATGCTACTGTGATATTTGATAGCTAATACATTGGCTCACTGGATCCTCTCGTGATAGCTTCCCTCCTCTATCACCCTCTTTCTCAACTAACCCCCCAAAAAATACAACATCCTCTGAACACCTATTACGATGGAGATGAGTGACAATGTGCAAAAAGAAGATTGAAGCTCTTAACGAGCTCCGGCTTTTGACTCAGCCGAGGTTTGAACTCGGGACCTTCAGTGTGCCTAACAGGATGTTAGACTGACGTGATAACCAACTACACCACCGAGCCCTGTTTTGATGTGAGATGAAATGGTTAAGATGTATATATATTGAGCAGTGTATGCGTGGACATCACTTAAACCGATATTCGCCAAGGATGATGAATCCGGTTTAGTGGATACAAACTACCGACCCGGCAACCGAGGGCTAGCAAATCAAATAGGTACGTCCAGCCGACTTTGGGGAAGCTGGTAAGTAGAGGCATTGCGGGACGAAGTGTTACATTCACGACCTGGAGAAGACTGATCAAAATGCTTGCAGATCAAAGTACAAGCGCTTGTTGAAGCTGTTGGAAGTGTACGGTGAATAGGAGACCAATGTTTGCGGGCGACGGCAGCTTGTTACTAGATCACCACGTCCCTTCAAGACATTAACATCTCAATCAACTACTGACCATAGTCTCCTCGTCACTTGCAATGTGTGTATACACAAAGCCGCTCAATGGAACCGAAGACGAGACACGGAGAGGCGTGTGGGGCTCTCGGCACGTGGGGTTGCTCCTGGGGTTGCGGCGGCGCGTGTAGAGGCCGAGGGCATACCGGCAATTGATCACGTTGCGGACGGACGTGTCGCACGTTATCAAGAAGCATTGCGCACGTTTTGGGACATCTTCATTTTCTGGTCGCTTGCTTACACTCTTTTCCCCTCTTCTTCACAGTCTTGTATATTTCCTAACAGGTTTGAAGAAATCATTATGGATCTCAAGGAACTTGGTGAGTTATTCCCCATGCTGCTGAGCTGTTGCGGCGCGCGCTGTTGCACACCCCAGCTAATCCGGCCTTTCTAGCACCCGTTGCAGGCGCCGCCATTGCAGGCGTTACTGCTGCTGTCGCATACATCGACGCCAAATACCACATCTCCAAAGATATCGCAGGCATTCGCGGCCAAAAAGCAACAGCGCGCGAATTAGAGAAGAACTGTAAGTTTGGGCTGTTTGGGTGCTCGCATCACCCTTTACTAATAGTTCCGCAGCTCGAGGCAAAGGCCAATCTCTCTGGTACCAATTCGAAACCCAAGTCCGCCGTCTCCCCTCGAATGAAGAATGCATCTGGTCTCGCAACGGATGCTATACCTGGGCCGAAACCTACGCGAACGCCTGTCGCTATGGCCAATACCTCCACCAGCATGGCGTCGTGCCCGGACAGCTCTTCGCCATGTACATGATGAACCGACCCGAGTTTCTGTTTGCTCATCTGGGCAGCTGGAGCATAGGAAGCGCCCCGGCATGGATCAACTACAACTTGGCGGGTGATTCGCTATTTCACTGCTTGAAAGTAAGCGGTGCCAAGGTGCTGCTTGTCGACGAAGAACAAGAGTGCAGGCAAAGGATAGAAGACATCCGCCAAAAGTTGGAGGAAGAACTCGGCATGACTATCTTGATTTTGGACAACAATCTAAAGGGCGAGATTTCAAGGTCGGAGCCAAAGAGGCCAGAAGACTCCCTTCGAGTAGGCGCAAAGGGCAAATTCCCTCTCTTCATTTTCTACACAAGGTGGGTCACTACTACACAACCTTTCAGGGAACAAACGCGCTGACAACACTAGTGGAACAACTGGACACCCGAAAGCCTGTCCATTCCCCACGGAAAGAGCGGCCGGTTTGGCAGGACGCGTAGGTGCCCTGGGCCTGAAGCCAGGACCTAATGGCGATCGATGGTATGTTTGCATGCCTTTATACCACGGCACCGGAGGTACCACCGCGCTCGTGTGCATGATTACTGGTCTTACCTGCTGCATTGGCACCAAGTTCTCCACATCAAGATTCTGGACCGACGTACGTGACTCCAAGTCTACCGCCATCGTATATGTTGGAGAGACGGCCCGTTACCTCCTCAATGCCCCTCCAAGTGATATGGACAAAAAGCACAACGTCAGAGCCATGTTTGGAAACGGTCTTCGTCCAGACGTATGGCAACGTTTCGTCGATCGTTTCGGCGTCGAAGTTGTTGGCGAGTTCTTCAACAGCACAGAGGGTGTTATGGCGCTCTTCAATGGTTCCCGCGGACCCTTTACAGCCACCTCAGTCGGACATCAAGGTCTCATTGACCGCTGGCGATTCCACAACACCTATGTTCCGGTTGAGGTTGATATGGTCACTGGTGATCTCCTTCGCGACCCCAAGACTGGCTTCTGTAAACGCAAGTCATACGAGGAAGGTAGCGAGATTCTTGTTCAGATGCCCAGCGAGGACGCTTTTGTTGGCTACTGGAACAACCCCGAAGCCACCGAGAAGCGCTTCGAACGTAATGTCTTCCAGAAGGGTGATCTCTGGTACCGCACAGGTGACGCCCTTCGTCGCGACGCCGACGGCCGATGGTTCTTCATGGACCGTCTTGGAGATACTTTCCGCTGGAAATCCGAAAACGTCAGCACAGCCGAAGTCAGTGAAGCCCTTGGATCCTTCCCCGGAATTCAAGAAGCAAATGTCTATGGTGTCGAGGTACCAGGTTACGACGGACGAGCAGGCTGTGCGGCCATTCTCATTGACCCTGCCCTACGCGATTCGTTTGACTTCAACGCACTACTTGCGCATGCGAGCGCAAAGTTGCCCAAATATGCAGTTCCTGTCTTTTTAAGGATACAAAAACAGCAAATTACCATGCACAACAACAAGCAAAACAAGGTTCCATTGAGAAACGATGGAATTGATCTGAGGAAGCTCATGGAGAGGGCAGACAAGGAGGCAAAGGAGCAGGGCAAAGACCAAGCTGAATACGACACCATCTACTGGAACCCAACTTTGCTCGGAGCTACCAAGGGCAAGGGTGCTGAAGGTGGTTATGTTGTGTATACCATGGCTGATTGGGATACGCTGCAAGCAAACAAGGACCAGGGCGCAAAACTATAGAGTGTTTGTAATTGCGTGTGGATCTTATTTTTGTCAGTTCGTAGCGTTCTCGTTTATCAAATGGATTGCATTTTGTATCACATCTGGACCTGACTTTGATTATGGATCTACTGAGTGAACGACTGCCAATGGAGTAGGTTTTTCTAAGTTTGTTGTTGTTGCATATCTGGTATCTGCTTGCAATACCCTAGAACCTACCAGATGAATACGTTGTTCTAAACTGTGTGCAGATGCATCTGTCTGGTTCTGCAGCTGGGCGGGAGAAATGCGTGTTTGCTCTTCAGCAACTTAACACTCATACTCACTGCAGGTGCCTTCAGCTCACCGTCACCGTTCTACTATTTAAACGGCTCTTCTTCAGTTCAATCTTTCTACGACAACGCAACCCTTTACCTAAATCGTATCCTAAGAGTTGATATCAGCCATGGGCGACGACACAGACACCGGCCAAAAGGAGCCTAAGACCCCAGTCACGCCCATGCCAGTTGATCCAGATGCCGTCACGACGAGCTCTCTACAGGCTCTTCAGTCGGCGGACCAGCGTAGGGTCATGGACATTGTGGACAAGCTTCGCCCTACTGGTCTGAGCGGAGTTGTAGAACTGCCTCAGCTCATTGTCTGCGGTGACCAGTCATCTGGCAAAAGTTCAGTGCTAGAGGCGATTACTGAGATCCCTTTTCCTCGCAAGGAAAATCTCTGTACGCGTTTTGCGACTGAGGTGAGCTCGATTATATCTAGAGATTATGCACTGAGCTAACGATGTACAGATCATTCTCCGCCGCTCCCCAGCTTCGACGAGTACTGTCACGATCACACCTGATAAGCTGCGCCCAGAGGCTGAACAAGCCAAACTCAAGGGGTTCACCAAGTCTATCCAGAACTTCGATGAGCTCCCGGATGTGATTGAAGAAGCGACTCTTGCCATGGGTCTAGGTGTTGTAGGCGGTATCAGCTCTAGAGCGTTCTCTCGTGACGTCCTCTCTGTCGAGATTACGGGTCCTAGTAGACCTCAACTGTCAGTGCTGCTCCCCGAGATTGATGTTATGGCCAGCTAACATTATCCAGAACTCTTGTTGATCTTCCTGGTCTTATCCATGCGACAAACAAGGCCCAGACGGAAGCAGACAAGGAGCTGATCCTGGATCTCGTTAGCCAGTACATGAAGAACCCGCGTACCATCATCCCAGCGGTAGTGAGTGCAAAGAACGATTTCGCCAACCAAATCATCCTCGACCATTGCCGCAAGATCGATGAACAAGGCCGCAGCACTCTCGGCATCATCACCAAGCCAGACTTTCTTCACGAGGGCACCGACAACGAGTTGAGCTGGATCGAACTTGCCCAGAACAAAGACATCTATCTCGAGCGCGGCTGGCACATGTTGAAGAACCGTGCTGATAATCAAATGAACTTCTCGTTTGAACAGCGCAACAAAGACGAAGCTCTGTTCTTCAGCAAAGGCCGCTATGCCGAACTCCCTCGCGAATGTGTGGGCATCACCTCCCTCCGCGAGCGTCTCAGCAAAGTCCTACTACACCACCTAATTCGCGAGCTCCCGTCACTCAAGGAAGAAATGATGGCCAAGTACCGCGCCACAATGGACGAGATTTCCAATCTGGGCGAAAAACGTAACACCAGCCACGAGCAACGCGTCTTCCTCATGAAGATCAGCATGAAAGTAAACGACATCCTGAAATCCGCTACAAAGGGATACTACGAATCGCCTTTTTTCGGCACCATCAACAAAGACGCCGCCGTCGACTCTCCAGAAAACATCCGTAGATTCCGCGCCGTGGTCCAGCACCTCAACATGGGATTCGCAAAGGACATGCGACTCCGCGGTCACAAGTACAACTTCGAAGCCGGACCCGGTGACGACGAGCGGGATAGCAGGGAAGCCGCGGAAGCCCAAAAGGAACTCGAGCGCGAACTCAAACAGGAAAAGAACGGCGCCACAGCTCTTCCTGTACCCACAAAACTAACCCGCGCAGAAGCAGTGCAATGGGTCAAGAAAACCCTCGAGCGCTCCCGCGGCTACGAACTCCCCGGAACCTTCCAGCCCGTCCTCATCTCCCAGCTTTTCTGGGAGCAATCCTTACCGTGGGAAGATCTTGCATCCCTGCACATAGCCAAGGTAGCGCAGGTGCGTCGGGACTTCATTGACGTTGTGCTCGCCGACTGCGTGCCCGAAGAGTTCAAGGAGCGGCTTGTAGCGCTGAATGTGGATGCGGCGCTGAGCAAGTCTTTGGAGGATGCGCAGGAGGAGCTGGGGAAGGTGCCGAGGGATAAAGCTAGGCATCCGTCGACGTATAATTATTATTTTACGGAGAGGATTCAGAAAGTTAGGGCGAGGAAGCATCAGGCGCTTAGTAAAGCCGCGGCGTCAGCGTCCGAAGTCGTGATTCCGGATGCGAAGGAGAGGCCGCAGGTGTATCTTGATACGACTAAGTTGGCGGCGCAGCTGGAGAAGTCGATTGAGCTCGATATGGATACATTTTCGAGCCAGGAGGCGCTGCATATTCAGCGGGCGTACTACAAGGATGAGCTCGGGTACTTCATCAATACTGTCGCGAAGGCGGTGATTGAGCGGCATTTGGTGGAGCCGTTGCCTGAGATCATTCTCTCTCCCCTGGTGGTGACGTAGATGACGGATGAGCAGGTCGAGTGTGTTGCTGCTGAGCCGGTGGAGATAGTGCAGCAGAGGGCTCATCTGGAGGCGAAGAAAGCCATGTTGGAGAGGGGTCTGGAGACGTTCCGAGAGGCTATGGGAGGTGTGAGGCGCTAGGGTTGTGGAGGTACTTGGACTGCTAGAATGCGGGCAGGTTGGTGGTACCGCTAGGCAGTCGAAAAGGCGAGTTGAACATGCAGCACAAGTGGCTCGTACGGTCGAATACTGGTTATGGATTCAGGGGTGATTTGTAAGTTTGCCAACGTCATCTTGATCCACCCTCCACAATGATTAAACTTCTTCATTATTTTCTCGTAACATTTACATCAGTTCATGCTGTAGCTCCTCTCTTTGCCCTCTTCACTCATCAAGGTAGGCTCAAACTTTTGTTTGCGTGCCTGTGTCGCGCCCGAAGCCTTCCATGCAGACAGAATCAAATCCACAATAGCGTCAACGCCCTGGTCCCTCTTTACAACAGCGAAAATAGTCGGTCCCCCTTCGCGCATCCGTCTGCTGTCTCTTTCCATGACATTGAGGTCCGCGCCTACAGCCTCGGCTAGATCGATCTTGTTCACGACTAGCAGGTCCGACTGTGTGATACCGGGTCCGCCCTTCCTAGGGATTTTATCACCTCCCGAGACATCAATGACGTAGATGATGAAGTCGGCGAGTTCGCGCGAGTAGTTTGCGGCAAGGTTGTCGCCGCCGGATTCGATGAGGAGCAGGTCGGTGTTGAACTTGTGGTGGAGGTTGGTCAGAGTCATGAGGTTCACGGAGATGTCTTCGCGGACAGCCGCGTGGGGGCAGCCTCCGGTTTCGACGGCAACAATGCGCTCGCTGTGGGTATGGGTCAGAGAGGGTTGGTCCTGGGAGATGCTGAAATAGTCTTACGCGGGTAGAGCATTGTTCTTGGTCAGGAACTCGCAGTCCTCGCGGGTGAAGATGTCATTGGTCACTGCGGCTATAGAAAAGCGTTCTCGGAGATGCTTGCAAAGAGCCAGCATAAGGGCAGTCTTTCCGGATCCTACGGGTCTTGCTTGTGTCAGTATTTCTCTGTGTTATATGATGTCTTGCCATGGCTTCGCTGTCTATATGAAATTGAGTCCAATGGGAATGAGTCGTACCCTCCAATCCCCACGGTAAACGAGCGGTCCTCCCAATCTCGTCCCTCGATAATAGGCATTTCACGTCCCACATAGCTGCCCGGTCCGTCGAGGATCTCATGGGTATGCCCGTGGTCGGCGGCAGAGTGCGAATGCGACGCACCATCATGGGAGTGACTGTGGGACATTTCCGGAGGGGCTGAGGGTAATAAGACTTGTTAGTAGAGGGGATGCTTGCCAGAGGAAATGAAGCTCGAGGTTCTCCATGGTGGGGCACATGAGAAGCTGGCGCGGGGTTGGTTCTCCAGCACCCCTGGCGCGGTACGGGATGGTCCCTTATTATTGCTATCATTCCATTGATCCAGAACTAGCAGGACGTACATGCTACATGATACGAGGAAAAGGAATGTTTTTTTTCAATACATGGGACAAGGCCGTATATAAAGCCGATCTTAAGGACAAGCCGCTCATCATCACCACAACAGAAGCAGTTGTTTTGCTCCAGACGGGAACCAGACGGGCGCTGGCCGGACCGACGACGCCTCACAGCCGTATGTGCCGCGTCCCCTTTTCCCCTCTTCCTTTCCCTTTCCCTCTTCCTCCATCTCTCCCTTATTCTCGTGCATCCACAGCCAACCTCATCACGATCCGCCGACCTCATGCCTCTTATGATGTGCACATGCACGGATTTGTATGCCTGCAATCCATGGACCCGGTTATCGTGTCCATCCGGGCCCGTAGTTCGTCAGCTGTAACGCTAGAAGGTTCGCGTATTCCGCCATAAGTGGCTCTAAAAGCAAAGCACGTTCACCTGAGCGGAGACTTCGCCGGGGCTGCGACCTCGTCCAATACTGCCGAGGTGCGCCACAAATACGACAATCTTCATGCGCGCAATCTCCGCTCCTCTCAGCTTTCCCACTTCTGTTAGGGCACCTGCAGGAACATGACACGGTGCTTAGCAGCTGCAACTATCTAAAGGCCAGCGCACCGCCCTCCCGCATGCACACGAGCCTTGATCCCGGTTGGCATCATTCGTGTGTGGCTGTTGTCCCAAACAAGATTGTTGTTGTTGCGACTCGTCCACTTCCGGTACGGCCGCCCTAATTAAACATACCCATTCATCTTGTTTCGACGTTTCACCCGTCATCCTCGTTCTCCATTTAGTCGCTCTGCTCTCTCTATAACGAATCGTATATTCTTTTTTTCTCTTAAACTACCCCATATTCCTTTTACATAATGTCTACAACAATCGCCATGTCTCCCGAAAAGTCACAACACACGTCCCTTACCCTATGGGACATTGACCGTGTCTTTCAAGATGCACACGAGGCATACGAGCAATGGCAGGCACGTCATCGCCGCTCTCGGTCCAAGTGGGCATGCTTTGGTACCAAGAATCGGGATGATGCTGTGGGGAAAGCTCTCAGCCTTGGACGCCAGGTTCAGAGAATAATGGAAACGGGGAAAGAAGCGTTCGGTGTGCGGTTTGAAGAAGGAGATCGTAAGCCATGTCTTGCAGCTTGTGGGCACAGGTGTTGACCATGGACAGAAAAATGCAACACGGTGCTCTCTGCACAACTGCTCCGAGTTCAATACGAAATCAGACAGCCGCTATACGACAGTGCATTCTCAGCAACACCAATCACACCCATTGACGACATCATCACAACTGCAAAGAGCGTACGCCGCGCCTGCTTAACGGCACTACGCGATCAATATGCCCGCCTTGAAACACCTATTCTTTCGCCAGTACTTCCCCCGCCACGATTCAAAGTCGAATTCTGTCCATTTGCAGACCAGCTTCGCAAGGACCTCAAGGAAACCAAGACCAGCACCCTACGAGCAAAGAAAGCGTTCCCACACGACAAGTACGACGACCGAGAAATATGTCCCCACTGCAGTGCGTGTATATCTGTTGCAGCACATTCCGGACTGCCTGCGTCTAGGTGCATTCTCTTTACATCACATATTGCACTGGATCCGGTTTCAAGAGACGACAAAGCGACATTCGCATGCAACAGCTGCTACAAGACCTTTGACGACTCCTACGCCTTTCTCGACCACTTCTTCCAAAAGCAGATTGGCAGCGACCGAAGCTGTCTGCGGCTGTCTATCACCAAGTCAACATCGAGTTGGTTCCTGAACGAAGAAATCATCGAGGCGGATCCTTTACTCGTAGAGCAGTGTCTAAAGAACTGCATAGCGCGAGAAACTATGCGTGGCAAACAGCACAAAAGAGCGGGCAGCCGGATAACCATACGAGAAGTGCGTTGTTCGGATTAACATTCCGGCAATGCGAAAGCGAAACGACGACACGATTTGGCATCTTGGGCGAGAACAATTGCACAAAGGCAACGACTGGGACCGATGGGCGCCCGGCATGTTGTGTTACGCCACATGGAGTTAGCGACAAGCGACATGCAGTGGTAGTTGGCGCTATCCCTATACTAAACGCAGCTGAAGACGTGCGCATCGGCGCATTCTCCGCAATCTGGAGTACGGGGGAGGTCAAGTCTCTTTTATTGTTAGAGAGACTGCGCTGGGTAACTTTACAGTGTCCTAGTCACTATCTTCCCACAGGGGTTCTACGGTAGCCTTTTTTTTGGCTCCGGAACCTTTTTTTCTCCAAACCTTTGTATTAAATTCATGTCTAATGCAGTAATGTCTTTTATGAACACCCCTTTGAGCGATTTAAAAGAGCAGCGACTACAGCCTCTAAGCATCTTATACATTTACATATATACATATGTACATGTCAGCAAGAGAACAATATACAAATTTACATATTGATACAAACGTCCAATTTATATATATATATATATATATATATTCGTATGACGAAAAAATAAAGATGATGCATAGATGCTTATACATGCCTCCCTTGTCATTTCTCTAGCTGTCTCACAGTCTCTTCTCTCTCACACAGACAGAGAGCTAACAAAGCTGTCACAACTGTCACTTGTTTCATCTACCGAACATCGTCATTTTACAACGATTAACCCTCTCATCTTTTTTTTTCGCTCTGTCTGTCTGTCATTCTCCTCTGCACAGACCCACGTTTTGCGGTGAGCAGGGATGTACCCTGGCGTCATCGTCGTCATCGTACCTCGTCGTCGCTAGATGGGAGGGTTTGCGTGGTGGTGGTTGCTTTGGGGGGGTCCACCTTCCTTGCTGTTGTGTTGTCTCGCTCGAGTAAGTTGATACTGCATGCGATGACCTGTGCACTTTGCATTGCATAGCCAGTTATTTGGCCTTTTCTTTCTTTTTTTGCTGCTGGTCGGTGCTATTTTCGGGGCCTGAAGGAAGGGAAATTCTGGCATTTATTTACTTCCAAGTTTCTTCTTCATTTGCTAGAAAGGTGCTGTGGACATGTTCAAGTGTAGATGTGAATATTTTTTCTCTCTCTTGATAGTCTAGTCTGTAAAAGGGACATGTATGCGAAATGACCAAGTTACGAATGGCGTTTTTTTTTCAGACTATGTTAATCGATGCGGCTGTATTATGAGGAAAACCACGCATCAAAGCCAAGATGAGGCTCTGGGCAAAGGAATCGTGTTCAATGCTCGATTCACAATCATAATACTCCACCGGTAAATCTGCCGACCATCTCCAGAATGACCTGTCAGCACCTATTCATTTTTGCTACCTCCTCTACCGAGTATGATTTCTCCGGCTTGGAGAAATGAAGATAAAGTTTGCCCAGTATTATCATTCTAACACCATCAGGCCACCGGATACGTCGATCTGATGTGAGCTCTACATCCGAACTTTATTTTGTGGTCATTCAGCTTCATTCATACCAATACGGTTTGTGTAGGTATGCATGCTTGACTCGGGGCTTTCTCGTGTTCTCTCGGCGCCTAGGCGGTGAGATGGAGATATGTAAGTAAGCAGGCAATCTTAGCGAGGGAAGGCGAGGAGAGGGATGACGTGGTGTGGGGTCTGGGGTAGGAGTACGTGTCTGTGTGTGCTTACGTACGCATGTAGGTGTGCACTGTATAGGGGCAGGTTTGGAGGAAGGTGTAGGAAAGAGTCACGTGCAATACGTACACCAATTGTATGTAGGAAATAAAGAAAATATCCACAGATGTGTCATGGAACAATTTTTCTTGGGATCCGCGACGTCTCTGTTTTTCTTTTTTTTCTTCGCCCGATGGTTTCACAGCATGTGGAGAAGCAAGAAGAAAACAAAGAAATTAGGTAAGTCCTGCAGAGCCAAGCCATGCCTTCCTTTTCCCGCCTCAGTCTTGCCTCATCCATCTCCATCTACACTTACAGATATGATGTCAAAGATACGCATTCAGAGCGCATAAACCACCTCGTATCTTTCTCTCCGATCATGACCTCAACAGCCTCAACTATTCCCAGCCCCCTCGAGATGATGTTCCGATCGCGACTACCACTGCACCCTTCCGTCACGCCTCCCAGACGACGCTCACAAAAGCAAAGAACAAAAGTCCCAAAAACCAGTAAGACGAAAAAAGTGCTCGCCCAAAACAGACAAAGCTAGCCGGAACGAGGCTGTCTACCCAAGCTACTATAGCACATTGATTTCCCCATCCTGAACCAAAATACCCACACATACACACACACACCCTAGCTCTGATCTCTCCCCCCCCTCCGCCCGCCTCTTCCTTCCCTCAAAAAACAAAAGCAACCTATCCATCAGAAAACAAGTTCATCGCCCAAAACACGTTTGCGTCCTTCCCCCCTTCCCCTTCTTTCTTCACTCCATTGCTTTTACTCTGCTACCCACAGATCTACACTGCAGCACGTTATGCCCTACCTTTCCGCTCGCACATGCATGACACCAAAGGACCCCCCCCCTCCCCTCTATACCAATTTAGGACAAAGGGCAATATGCAGTATGCAACATGCATGTAACTCTCTCGGCCTAGACCGAATGAAGCGAGTGATTTTCTACTTTGTTTCTTGACCATCACATGGAGATTGCATGGCATGGGAATCAGAAAAGTTAGACATGGGGATGGGAAGTTTATTCCGTGGCGGAGTCAGCTAGGTAGGTCGGGATGAGATGAATGGGATGGATGGATGGATATGTGCATGTAGAGTGACATGGCAAATGCCGCGATAAGCAGTCTTGTCCCTCGTGAGTTGGATGGGTGGGGTCTGGATATTATATCCGGGTAGCGGCTTTGCGCTTGAAGGACAAGAACGACGGGTTTTG